GCCACCCAAGCCTGAGCGATCATATTAGGCTGGCTAGCGACGCGTCAGGGAGGTGGGGTGCTTGATGGATGAAACAGAGATCAAGCCAGGCTGCTGCGTTGCTTTGAGCTGGAGGATGCGCTCCTCTTCACGCTGCCTCCATCAAAATCACACAAGAGGTACCTCTGCGCCGGAATGCCTGTAGATAACAATGAAGCACCCGTTTCATGAAAAAAGTGTCTGCTTTTGCTATGCTGCTATGCACAGCGCATGCCTCGGCATTACTGCAGCATGAAGACTTTCTCGACTTCTGGTCCCTGCTCCGAATAGCAACTTTACGCCCAACCCCTTAAACGCTTACAAGCCCCCAAGTGGGGATTTGTGAACTCAGCCCAACCCTGAGCCACAGAAACCTCACAGGGTGCACCTCCGCCTCTCTTCTACTATGTCCTGCCGAAAGGGCATGGCAAAGTAGAGCAGGGGTCGGGGATTAATATGAAGAAGGATCAGCAGAATGTAATCTTGGAGGGTCCATCCAAGACAACTCAGAGCCGGGACCAAAATCACCATCATGCCCCTGATCCCAATGCCCAGCATGTCAGCCGGTTACAGGGATCGGGCGGGTTGGGGTCACCATCAAGAATGACAGGGATGGGGCAGGTCGAAATCGACGTCCTCATTACTGCTGTCGCTTTGGGATCTCGAAACAGATTTGAAGAGCAGCCAGCATCCTCGTCGCTCTCTACATCATATCGTCTTGGTGATTACATACACAAGATGATGCGAGTTGGGCGGGTGAAGGTCCCAACTCCGGCGGTTAGGATTACATTCTCCCACCCGAGTAAGAACAAGCTACTAGTAGACGAGAATGAGAGGTGGTGCACACTATGCTTAAAGCATCCCCATCACCAATTCTCTCGTCCACCGCAGCGACAGTACTCACATTGGAACATGTGCGCAGGCTCGCGGGAAGCATGAGAATGAAACGAGAACTTTTTAGTTCAAGTACCTACTGGGAGGCTGTTGAAAGGTCTCTGTAGCAATGAAAGAAGTCCGCTCACAGTATTCTCGTTTCTCTGGGACTTACACATAATGGATTAGTCTGGAGATGTCTGGAGTGGTTCCTAGGCCCTAGCCCCGCTCCTCCCTCGAATCCTTACTAGTTTGCGAGCCTTGCTGGTTTGATGGATTTCCTTACTTGGTTCTTCGCTACATTTTTCTTGCCCGTGGATACATCTGTGACCTGCTCTTTAATCTCCCTTCCAGGGAAGACAATCCCTGCAACATTAAACGCTTTGAGGGGAAGGGACTATTTGCCTGATTCCACCCAAGACGCACAAGTCGACGAACCATCAACCACAGCCTTACCAACGATTTTCTTGGAGGTTTAGGTTTTTGTTCACTCCTGCACAGCTGGGGCGAATCCACATCGCAGGGCGATTACGAGGCTTCAACGGGCGTACTACTGTGCAGCCCTCATCCATCTCCCATCAGACATCAAACCCCCCATTTGGGGTTCAGGGTTTAGAGCTTAGGGTTTGGGGTTTGTAGTTTCGGCACCCGCATAGCTGGACGAACCACTCCGCAGGGATTCCAAGTCTGAGTGACGATGCGAAATTGCGCTGGAAAAATGGTTGTCGTGGTTACCCTGGGCGAGATGACTACAGAACCAGCCCCTCAACCCCCACTCGGTTTAGGGTTTAGGGTTTAGGGTTTAGGGTTCAGGGTGCATTCAACGAGCATATTTTCTTGGCCAGGTCTTTGCCAGGTATCGCGCCACAACAGCTCGGGATGTATTTTATACGTGAACCTAGCTCCTACAGCAGAGACAATTTCCTTCGGGGAGCCCTTTTAAAATGGGGGTCCAAGCTCACAAGAAAAGCATTTAAAAGACACAAGGTTTCTCAAGGCGATACCAGCTTTCCGCACCAAATAGTTGACAAGAACATCTCCTACCATGTCGATATATGCTCCCTATGTCGCAATGTAGGCAACCAGGATGTACACTTTATTGATTATTGTGTCGGCAGAAAACATTTGCAGCTGATGCTGCTTCATGTAAGATAATGAATATACGGGGACAAGGCAGACTGAGTCTGAGAGCCACACAGTTTGAAGCATTGTTTGCTGGATCTGCTGGTGAAGCTGCTGCACAGCATTGTTTTGGTGGATGTACAGATCTAGAACTACATGCTGTCGATCTTTCCCGGGACACTCGCAAGTGCGTGGAAGCACCTCTTGCTTGGCTGGGGTTAGGAAGAGGGACAACAACCTCTGACGGCCCTGAAAGCTCGACAAACAGTAGAACAGGACGCAGTCCCTTCCACCTCTGCACTGTAGTGAAGGCACTGTAACTGTAGTGGCCCTGCTTTGTGGACGCGCACCTCAACCCCCCAGCACCCCGGATCCCTCCTCGGGGATCGCTCCGAAGCCAGGTGGCAGCCGAATCGGCTGACCGTCATCCGAACTCGCAGATGTTTGGCTTGTCTTTGCAAGTTCATTCCGTTTGCATGCTGAGTTCTTGATATACCTGAACCAGGCAGATGCTTGCTCTAGTTCTCCGGAGGATTGCTAAGTACGAAATCTCCTTTATCTTACTGTAGGGTCGGTGGGTAGCTCGTTGGCGTTGTCAATGATTTTGTTGGGCTCCAGTGTCCGGGGTTTAGGGATTCTGCAAGGAGAAGGGAGAGGAGGAAGGGTGAGATTTGGAGAGTACCCGCTGAAGAATGGATTTATGCAAGCGTTTCTTTCGTCATGATTGGTGCTGAGGCCTGACAACGGCACATCGTCTTTTCCCTGACAACAGCACGTCTTCTTTCCCAGCTATTTGTGTTTGCAAGACATTCTTGCCGACCGTTGAAACAAGCTACTTCCCGAGTTGCTTTTCGGCACGAACATCTTCATATGCATGTAACCACATGGTCCTAGAGACGTCCTACACGAGCCGCCGCACTAACTTATCCGTCGCACGATGAATTTGCATTCTCGGCGGGACATGAATACAAAAACAATCATTACCAATGGCACCAGTCTTGCCAGGGCACTCATCGTCGTCTTCGAACTTCCCTTGGTCAGTTGCAACTCTGCTCACACCCAAGCGCCAGGGCTCAACAATAGCGAGGTGTGGTGGGGTGGGGGGGGGGGTGCTTGATACTAGCGTGTTCCACGTGCTGCTCAACAACAGCGAGGTGTGTTGGGGTGGCGGGGGTGCTTGATACTAGCGTCTTCCACGTGCTGCTCAACAACAGCGAGGTGTGGTGGGGTGGGGCGGGGGTTTTGATTCCTCACGTGCTTCTCGACAACAGTGGGGTGGGGTGGGGGGGTTGATAATACGCGTCCTACACATGCTCCCCCCACCATGGGGGGGGGGGGGGGGGCAGGGGTTGATAACAGCGTGAGTTCCACGTGCTGCCCAACAGCAGAGAGGGTAGGAGTCCCTTGAGACTGAGCCCAGAGCCCCTCCTTTAAAAAAGATAAAAACAATTGTTTGGACACGCTCAACGTCAAGACCCTATCAAACCCCATCCAACACGAAGGGAGACAACAGGGAGACAAGTGAAGACACTGGTGATGGACAACCCGGACTCGGCAAGCCCGGCACGACCACCCAACGGGAAAGCGGACAAAGGGAGAACAACAGAAATAAGGACACGACGAAAAATGCTTTTCTTCGAACATCCCCGCCCTCTCTTGGAAGAGATACTCTGGGGTTGGGCACTCCAGGAACACTCTGGGCTGGGCACTCCGGAGACACGGCATTCCAGGAACTCTGGAAACACTGTGGGGGCGGGCACAAGGGAGACTCTGGGGTTGGGCACTCCAGGGACACTCTAGAGTTTGGCAGGGACACTTTGGGGTTGGGCCCTCCAAGATGAGTAAGGAGTAGACCGGGCAAGGAGAAGAGTTGAGTTTAAGATCTAACAACCCCACATGGAGGGTGGGAATGAAGATGAACGTGCTAGCAGCTGCTAGCAAAACACGCTGTGTTTTGCAGTGTTTTGAGCCTCTGTACGCAAAAAAAGTCACAAGTGAGAAGCAGCTTTTTCAAAAAGTTACAAGCGAGAAACAAGAAAAGGTCACAAGCGAGAACAAAAAAATGTTACAAGCGAGTAAAACTCCGACATGGTCTCGCGGCACTTGAGGGTTGCTTGTGAGCTCATGCTCTCGAATCTTCCAAGCCAAAAACACCAAGCCTCCCTCCTCAACCAGAGCCCAGTGCTTTTCTGATGAACCAGGCCTTGCAAGGTGACGTCTGGTCATCCTACGGTCAGCTTTCGCACGCTCAGCAAACAGCTGAAGACGAGCGGCAACTTCATCAGGACATCGGGTCGAGAGCCACATGCATGCCAGCCAGAGAAAGAAGAACATACACACAAGTTAGCATATGCGTTGCAAACGAAGGATAAAGCACCTCCACGAAACCTAAGCATTGGTTCAATAAAATTGCTTGCCGCCTGTTTGGCTGGTGCGGCCACATGCATGCTTCGCAGGATGAGGCCGAAAGGACTGGGCCTTTGTCGAAACGCGTCTTGTCTGTCACAAGCAAATGAGTATCGTAAGAACCGAGACATCGTGCCCAGAATCCGAGAGCAATCCGGCAGGTCATGTTGAAACACCATGATGATTGGCACTAAATACCAGCATTGAAACTTTCTTGGCTTTGCCAAGAACTTGGAATGCCTCAACTCGGGAGCTGACAGCAGCAGCATTGGCAGGTGGAGCGAATGCTTCTTACCCGGAACCAACAAAAGCCCTAACACCCTTACATGTTGCCCTTCGATGTATCGCATGGCTGAGCCCCAGGAAGCACTGGAATCACACGGCTTGCGCTAAGCATCTAGGAAGATGGAAGCGCCGGAAGGATATCTCATCGGATCACAGGTAGTTCGGGTAGTTTGTAGTCTAGTTCTGCAAGGAGTTTAAGGAGCAGCGTGCCCATCAGAGAGCCAATGCAAATCTTGAAAAATGTGGCTCGATAGCCCCGCGCTCATGGCGGCACTTCGGACCCATGCAAGTGGAAATCAGTCGGCGTTTTTGCCGTACCAAATACGGTCAACTTTGCTTGTCCATTCATTCATGGTCTCCATCCTTATCTTTCGATTCAGCTTCTTCTTTGCGATCTCCGGCTCTTTCTCATCTTCCACGTTCGATTCCTTCCCCTCCTCCTCTTCCTCCTCTTCCTCGCCTTCCTCCTCTACCACGCCGTGGCTTTCTAGGTGATTTTGCAGCCTGAAATGGCAGGGAAGGAAGGATTGGGAAACCATGTCATACCCTAAGCCCTAAAACTGCCCCTGAATAAGAAGCCGAGGGCATTTGGGCAGCGTCCTTCAACTCTTTGAGTTCGGCCATGGAGTGAACAGCATTGGGATGCTTCTCACAAAGCCTTGGCTACCCAGTTATCCGGGAATAAGAAGGGGGCGTGGTTTGGGGTTTAGGGGTTCGGGTGAGTTTAGGTTTTTTGGGGTTTAGGGGCTAATCCAGGGAACAAAGGGAACCCCATCGTGTTTAGGGTTTGGTGTGGAGGGGCCTAAGTGTTAATTGCCAGCATCATCCCGTATCACCCCAGTGTAAATATACTTATACTACTACAGACTGTAAAACTTTCTGATCAAATGGGCAGACATAATAGGAGTCAAAGGGGAGCGCTATTGGTTTACAAAGGACTCTGAAACACAAGAAAAGCAAGAAATGTGGGACAACTTGTACATCCTAGAAGCTTCAAGAACTCGGAGGGCTTCTTCAGGCTGTCGCCGTGGCCGCTCAACGCCTGGATGAGCTCGACATCACTGAAGGAGGCAGCGCACACAGCAAAGAGAGAAAGGAATGCCGCCCCCACATACTGCCCGACTGCTCGCAACTCGGCCTTCATTACCATCCTTTCTCGATGGGACAGGCCACTTTGGGGCGAGCTCACCGACATAGAGAAGACGCACAGGCAGACGACTCCAAACAAAGCCGAAAAAACAACCACAAAAACAGCTGCTGGAGCCTTCTTCTTCTCAATTTTTTTCGAAAGCAGTTTGTTGCAAAGTTGATAAACGGTGTACGCAAAAAAAGCTACTGTTGCGAGGGAGGTCCAAGCGGTGAAGTAGATCGCCCAGTCCAGCAATCTGTAAAGCCAGCGGGTGGCGTAGGCCGTGTCATTGCTAGAAGAGTCTAAGAACTTCACGACGACCTCTTCTGCTCGCACGAGCGTGCTTGGGGCAAGCGGGGCAATAAATAGCAAGCTGGCGATCTCCCACAATGCAACGAGCAACATATACAACGCAGCTAGCTGCTTGTACACCGACACAGCCATGCGAGGCTGAGGCACAATGGCCTCTCGCCATACCATCAGGTGTCCAGAAACCCAGGAGCCACTAGATAGCTCAACATGATGTGGAATTCGGTGGGGCTGGAATTGCAGGTAGTCCCCATGAATGACCCCACGCAGCCAGTCGAACAGCTCCAAATAGCCCCCTTTGAGCAACAGCAAAGGACTCACTAATGTAAGCAGGGCTTGGACGGCTGGCATTTGATAAAAGCACGCGCAATCATCAGTCTTGCTAACCGAAACAAAAACAGATGTACTGCCGAAGGCCCAGTATGCAGCTGTTGAAGCGGCGGCCCCTCGCATGACTAGCGCAGCAAAAGCCGTGTAAGCAGCGCGCTGCCTCTGCTGCTGAAGGACGAGCCAATCATGAACAATTCGGAGAACACACCACAGGGTGGTCAATCCCAGGAAAACATCCCGGCCAGGGCCGAGAAGGTGATTCTGGGCTTCTGCCTTCATCTCGCCTCTTTCGCAGTACCTGTGCATGGCATCGGTTGTCATATTTGGGCAGAGTGCCGGTGGCTGATAGGTCGAAACGTCCCCCAGAGCCGGCGCAGTCATGAAAGTCCAGCCTGCCCGAACGTCAATGAGGCCCCGCCACCACATCGGGGTCCCCTCGAATGCCCGCAACGGGTCCATCATCACGATTTCCTCGTGGCCATTCTGTACACTTGCGAAGTACCCCTGAGTTGTGTCAACATTCCCAGCTGCGTAGATCTTCAGGTACACACAGCCAGATGTATCAGGGTCATTGCACGGCTGATAGCTGTCTGGATCGATGTTCGTGATCGTGACAATGAAGGTCAGAGAGAGAAAGGTGGTGAAGAGCGTCATCCCCATAGCCTTCACGTACGGCTTTAGGTTCGTCACTATGGTCTTCGCGCGAGACCATTGCACCTTGACCATTGCCATCAGACCACCCGATCCAGGAGTGCCTTCTTCATGCACTGCCGGCATTGCGGAAGTGGAAGAGATCACCGGGATGGGGTCGCCTATGGGCACTTTGGTGTCCGCGGTTTCGCAAATGTCGCGAAGTGCTTCATCTGACCCCGGCTCGACATGCTCCTGTCTCTGCACCTTCAGAGCTTCCAGGTCATCCGTGCCCGCAACCTCGCCAGGCAACGAGACCAAGGGTGGCCCAGCAGACATGGTGGATGCCATGGAAGAGGCAACACAAAAAAGAGAGAGAGCGCCTCCCAAACGCCCTTTAAGGGCGTATGCAGCACACTCCTAAGGAACCCCACCCGCTGGGCCAAGCCAAAGCTCCTGTTCTCGAGGGCTGAGTCATAACATAACACGACGAAAACATTACCACGTTCTCGTGTTCTAGTATTAATACGAATAGAGTACGATGATAGCATGAGCTTATCACCTCACAACACCAGAATGTTGTAATCTTACAATACCGACAATGCCCTAAGGGGCAATTTTTGTTGGGAGATCTAAGGTAGGGTTTAAGGTTAGGGGAGGGGGGGGGGGCTCAAGCCCCAAACCCTAGACGCTCCCCCCTGTGAACTCAGGGCCCAAAGCGCCCTAAAGATCGAAATCTGCGGCCCTCCGCCCTTCTCGAAGAAACTTGGGATGCATGAACATTCAGCCACATCTACGAGATGTGGCATCGAAGCGTGCCGAGCTTAGGAAGTAGAGTTCGATGCTTTAGGGCATCGTTGGTTGCGTTCGGTCAACTACATAGCCTGACAACGCACTGAAGGGAACATGCCAGAGTCAGCAGCAAGTACCAGGCATGGAATCGCAAAAAAGCAAAGTCGCACCGGCTGAGCTGAGTCTACAAACAGACTCCGACAAGCCGTTGTGGGCGATAGTGTTCATCGGCAGATTCTATGGCCATTACTATGGAGCCGGGTGCTGTACAACCCCACTGCGAGGTTCTACTTTGGCCTTCGCTTAGCAACCTTGTTGAAGCTGGGGCCCCCGACTCTTCAGAGTAGGCGGCTGATCGCCGATCCCCTCCTAGCCGGAAGCCGAGTTTCGTCGCTCAAACACTCGCACAGGGCAGGCAAAGCTCTAGGATTTTAGGGTTCAATGGTCAAGCATCCACATACCTCGAGGCATGTGACGGCTTCCTTCTGCGACACTGCTGCACTACCGCTGAACAGTACTGGACGTATCCACCACAAGGGCTTCCTATTGTTCTTTGGCTAAACCCCTTTTTGCATCCCAGCCGGTCCAGGCCTCTGAAGTCTGCTGGTAAATCCCTACAACACCAAACCTTTGAGACCCTCGTCGCACCTGCTTCGCGAAGCGGGGCCTCGCACTTTGGGACCTTGCGGATACACATGTGGCGCATGCAGCCTCTTCCCGCTGATCACATGTTGGTCCAAAAAGTTGACCAGCCACCATTTGAATTTTCTTCCGCTAGCGGTGGTAGATCTGATTGTTACCGGTACAGTTCGAAGTGTAGCAGGCTTCGAACAAGAGCTATCTTCCATCTTGCTTCCATCTATCGCGGTCCCGTCAGCCAAGGCTGTGCAGGTGTCCTGTGCCACTGAGTAGGCTCTTGACATATGGTGCTGACATCTGACTTCTGGGCGCAGAAGGACCTGACGGCTGAGCCAAGGACACTTCTGTCTTCACCTGGCACAGTGAGCAAGCTCAAGCGATGCTCCGTCGAGTTGCGGAGGCGAAGTCAGAACAACTGAATTGGTTCCCTTAGTGAGTTAGTGGCTGCTGCAAGGAAACCGGCAGGGAACTCTCACTCTCACTCACACTCACACTCTCACGCTCACTCTTACTCACACTCACACTCTCACTCTCACTCACACCCACACACACTCTCTCTCTCTCTCTGCATGCCCCAAGGGGCGCGCAAGTCCCAGGGTCAGTCTGTTTGCTGAGGCTGCGATGTTCGCAGCCCTGTCCCACACTCTCTCTCTTCCTTCCTTCCACAGCACAACCCCCAAGGGGGTCGTCCCAAGGGACGTGCTCCAGCGATCCAGTCGGTGGTGAAATTACTAGAATACAGGCCGGGGTTACATCACTTTCGACTGCCCCCCACTATACCTACACTCTCTCTCTCTCTCTCTCTTTCTCTCTCTCTCTCTCTCTCTCTCTCGCTCGCTCTCGCTCTCGCTCTCTCTCTCTGTCTCTCTCTCTCTCTCTCTCTCTCTCTCTTTTTGGTCTTAGGCCTTCGTCAAGGGATTCATCGTGTGTGCTTTTTTCCAGTTGCAAACGCCTGCATTGACTTACTGGCGCATGGCCGAAAGCGGACCTTCTAAGCAATCCTGAGCCAATGCTTTCAGGACCTTCCAAACCTGGCAAGCAAGGCTGGTCCCACCCTGGCCATGGTTCTCGGAGAGACGTAGCCCGGCCGGGGCCCCCTGGACTGGAAGGAGAAGGCTCGCATTTTTGGGGTGTGTTGGGGTTTGCAAGGGTTCCGGCTTTCGCAAAGCAATTGTTCCGGGACTGTTTCGGGGCTGCGCATGCACGGGTCCAGCCCTTGAAGCCGCCAGACATTGGCTGCAGTAGTCTTGCTTGTTCTCGGGTCTTGTTCTTCCCATGTGTTGCCTCTTGTATGTTTTGCACGTTGTCTTTTGCACATGTGGCTACCACGCGACGTCTCGAAGCCGCTTTACTTTACAGGCCAGGACCGAAGCCCTGGACATGGTTTTGCATCCGAATTTGGGTTTTGACGGTCGCTCCGACTCCACACCGAACCCGCCATCCCCCGCGGGTCGTGCCTGCAGGAGGCCGGGCCCCAAAACTGTTCAGCTGTTGGGCCAACACCGCAGCGGGGAGAACTGGAGAACTCAAGGCTTGTGGGCTGAGGGTCTCGTGTCCAAAAATCACATGCGCTGTCGCTAACTATACGAACCATGTGGCAGAGCTTCCTGGATGGCCTTAGAGTCGATAGAATGCTGTGTGAACACAGAATCGTCAACTGCTCGCTGTGGTCATCGCAAGTCACCTTCCCCTAGTCAAACTCTTGTCCCAGGTCTCGTGGGCTAGCAAAGTCAGCAAATACTTCTCTTTTTTTTTGTGCCCCGGGGGGTTTGCGAACGTGAGCTCACACTCACTCTTGCTTCGGGCACTGCTTCGTCCACCAGACGACCTGCGAAAAGGGCGTGGTCGAAGATGGCTAGCGAAAATGCTGTGCTAAACAAGTCCCGGCGTGGCTTGCACACTGCACCCCATCATGTCAACAACCTGCCCAAACCTGCTTGTATCTATTTGTACCAGACCCCAAGAAGAGCAAAAAACAAGCCCCATCCAACAGCAAAGGCTCTGCACTACTTTTTGCGTCTCTGGGCTTGAGAAGTCGAAGAACTCCATGTAATTTGCCTCAGGTTGCCGTCTTGCACCCTGCAATCTAGATCGTTAAGAGTAACTCTTGCGGTGCCTTCAGAGTGTGCCTGAAGCCTTAATAAGCTGTGCCCTTTGGAGGGCTCAGACGGATATCAGCTTCCCAAGCTCCCCCCAAAACCTACTTGATTCTTCAAACTATGCCGTACGCCTCCGGAAGCCCTGTGCTCCCCCTTTTCAGCTGGGAAGTGTTTAGCTTGCGACTCAGGGGTTCGGAGCTTCTTCTGGAAGGGCTAAAGGGCTGAAGGTTGTGCCAAGGCACCAGTGTGGGCCAGGTGTCGACCTCGGGGAGGCTCAAGATTATGGGTTCTTCTCACATGGATGCTGGGCATGCACGATAAAGCCATTTAACCAGCATGATTCTAGCTTGCAGCTTCCTGTGGGCAACTAGGACGGCCCCTAAAACCCCCGACAAATATTCCTGTGCACGATGCCTCTTAAACATAACCTGTCCCAAGGGCCTTCCCTGTGGGCAAGTGATCCACCATGTGCTGCAAAGCTGCACGGGCATCATAAACGATGAAGCCGCGCTCGCCTATCCTGCCGATGGTTTAGGGTTTAGGGTTACTTGACAAGCACAGCATGCAGGAGCAAACTGCGGGTTCGTACTCAGAGGCCCTGACCCGAACCTCCCCATCCCAGTCATCAGCAGCTCACCAGGTGAGGGTACTCCACACAAGCATCGCGCATCAACCGGGGAATGTCTTCAAAGGTCACATCGCGCCAACCCGGACTGACAATAGTCCGGTACGACCGAAGGCTTCAATATCAAGACCGTTCCACTCTCTGGGGTGTATCATTGACGCAATGACCAGTGTTGTCGTCGGCATGTTGTGTAGGACATCTTGCACTCCGGATTCTACTGAAAGTTCGGAGGATGCGAGACAAACTCTCCGAACCACAAGGCAGCGGAGCAGAAAGGGAGGAATCAACAAAGTCAAGGCTTCGGTTCACAACGACAGCGAATCGACCCAAATTAGTGACCTAAAGGCCCCTCTGCCAGATATGCGTCGTCACAACTTGCGCCTGGACGACCCTTACCACGAAAAGCATAGGGGATTCTCTGTTCAGAGGGTGTGTGCTTTCACTTCAAACACACGGTCCTGTGTCCCAGTGTCGCGTCTATCAAACGGACAGACCATTTGCCAGGAGCTGGATCTTTGAGGTTGTCCACGAACATGCTGAAACCTGTCGCGGAGCATCGTCACATCCTTTCTGGGTCACGAAAGCTTAGGGTGCCTTTCGGAATCTTCCCGCCAGATTGGCGCTGCAGCTGGCCCTCCAAGAACCAGTGGATGGCGACCTCATGGAATCTTTGATGAAACAGACCAAGGCCTCTTTGCGACCTTCTTCCCCTATTCGCCCAACACATCATGTCTAAGACGACTTGCCCATTGGCCATGGGGTCCAGTGTCCACAGCTCATGCGGCCGCATGCTTGCACTCTTTCCCCACCTCGCCCTCAAACCCCACGTTGTTCAGGTACGAGATGAGGCTCACCTCAAGCTCGCAACAGTAGTGGTGTGCTTGCTCCGAGCCATAGCACAAAAAAACAAAGCAACATACAGCAACCCAATCACCTCACCGGCCAGGTGGCGATGGGACAGTGAGTGGCATCGATCAGTGAAACTTCACCATGGAAGCGGTACGTGCCCTGGCTCGCGAAGATTTTAGAATTTCCCAGCATCCTTCCTGTGCACCCAGTGCAGCCCGGAGACGAGACCAGATCATGTTGAAAGCGTAGTTTTAACTCTACTATTGAGCATTTTTGAGCCTACTGCCACAGATCATGGCTCCCACCAGATGCGGTCAAGAAAATGGCAGCTCACCACTGAGCATACAACCTTTGGCCTCGTCCCAGCCACAGCCGATGCGAAGTGCCACCACAGGTGGCAAGAAGCCCCTGACACTAAAGTGTGCGGAAACACGTGACAACACCCAAGGGCCAAATGCATGAATACCGCAAGCCGCCCACAAACAGCTCTGCGGCAGCAAACTGCTTCTTCAGCCCTCTGTTGGTCGATCTGTTCACCCGAAAGTCCTCGCAAGCCCCGCCCGCTGTGCCACCGCCGCGCGCTCCGTCAGCAACAAGGCTCCGGACGCCGTGGCACCGCGGAGAGCAGCACGCTGTGGTCCTCTTTGGAGATGTCAGGGTGTCAAAGAAATATGTTTTAGGATGAGGCAGGCATGGGTAGAAGCACGGGCTTGACAACGCAGGTTCATAACAGAACCAAGTCGCGCTCTCTGACAAACAGAGGAGTGCATAGTTCGAGCTGGGTGCAGCAGTCCTAGACGTGGGGTGCACCGTCATTTCGCGCCTAACGCGCTCCGTACTTTAGCACTTCAACGTATGAGCTGCGGTTGCTCAAACGCAAAGTCCGGCACAAACCCTGAACTGATGCACAGAGGCCACGCCTCCCATGCAAAGGCCTTTCAGCCAGACTCGCATGCGTTTCGGCGTCGGGCGTGCTGAAACAGTCACCAGCTGCTCGAACTCAACACCCTGCAGGGACAGAAAGGATGGGGCTTTAAAGCACTGCATGCCAAGCGCCACGCCCACAACTGCCTGCAACAAGTCGTGATTGCTGGGCCTGGTATACCTACCAGTCGTGCCATCACACAAGCCATCATCTCCCCCGCAAGCCCAGAAGCCGAACCCACACCTCCAGCTCGGCACCCAGTGCCCGGGACAGAGGCCGCGGGATTCGGCCAGTGAGCCACCTGCCCGCCCCCCCGTTGCCCAAAGAAAATAATAAAAAAAGGGCCAAGTCAGAAGAACATAACTTCCGGTTGGCACGCCCCCGCCAAAATCTCAGCAGCTCGGGTCTCTGGGTCCCAATTTTTTCTCGTCGAACAAAAGATGTGATTGCGACTGCCTTCGACGTGGGGTCCTCAAACCTCCAATCCCAAGTTTGCAATGTTCAGAAAACCCCCCAGCTCATGCCATTGAATGAGACGCCTGTCACACCTCGAGCCAAGACACCCAAAAACACACCCAACATTAGACTCATTGGGTCACCATGAAACCTCTATTTCCGGTGCCGACTGTCTTCTCTTTCCTACAAAAAGTTCATGCTTGTGGGTACCTTGAAGGTTGTTAACTTGAACTCCCAGGTAGTCGTAACCCTTGGCCAACCCTGGCCCAGGGTTTGCCCCACACCCCTTGGCCCATGATCTAGCCCAAAACCCTGCCCAAGATCTGGCGCCAAACCCTGGTCCAGGGTCTGGCCCAAAACCCTGGCCCAGGGTCTGGCCCCCAACCCTGGCCCAGGGACTGGCCCAAAGTCCTGGCCCAGGGTTTGCCCTCAAATCCTTGGCCCAGGGTTTGAACCAAAACCCTGGCCCAGGGTTTGCCCCCAACCCCTGGCCCAGGGTCTGGCCCAAAACCCTGGCCCATTTGGCCCCAAACCCTGGCCCAACCCTAAACCCCTAACCCCTAACCCCTAACCCCTAACCCCTAAACCCTAAACCCTAAACCCTTACACAATTCCAGACTCCATGTTCCGACCCCATGCTCCACTTAGGGCTCTAATTTTAGCATCTAATGCTCTGGCAAGTTAGACGACACATGGCACCGGAGAGTGGGGCAACCCCCCGAATGCGTCAGCGCAACCCGAAAGTGCCAAGCCCTGACAGCCTTACTCGGTTGCGGCGTGCAATGCTCGCCTGCGATAGAAGCGGATGCTAACTGCGGAGTTCGATAAGCCCTCAAACTTACAGCAAAGTAAACCCAGCCACCGCAATGGTTTAGCTGTTGTGTTTCTTCCTAAGGTTGGCGTGGGCTTGGGTCCCTTAGTAGGGCTCAGGCTTCGACAGTACTGTAATCAGCAACGCGCCCCCAAACCGCAAACCCCTAGACTCAAAACTGCAAGGCCAAACCCGCCTAAAATCCTATAAGGCATGTTGGAGCCCCTGGGGCTAAGCATCTTTTGCTTTAACTTGTGGTGGTTTAGCTTTGGTCTTTCGGCCACCCACCTAGCTGACTACAGGGGAGCAGCACGCGATACTCCGAGCATGTGCTAAACAAACGCATGGCAAAGGTTTCTTTTGCAACAAATGTCATAGGCTACCAGCGTTGTTGCATTACTGACAGGTTCTAAAGACGGAGTTAGCGGAACGACATAGAGCTGGCTTGACTAACCCCAAAAGCAACGAATCCAACGAAAAATACCTACCTCAAGCTGGACGAAGACCTCGAACCCTAGCCCTGGCTTTGGGGTTTCGGGTTGGGGTTTGGGGCTTGAGGTCTTGAGGTTCAGGATTTTGGGCTTTGGGTTTAGAGCCTGGGTCGTTCCCAAGTTCGCATCGCACCCAATCCATGTCCCTCCTGGCACTTTACCACCACTTCTCAACAAGCCTTATAAACCAACCATTCCCAACATAACCCTCGGCATGAATGGCATACCCACCCATCCATTCCACACGCTTTTTCGGATTTTACAAGCTCGCCTCTCTGTGATGCCGCGCGGCTTTCCTGTCCCTCCAGAGAGCACCAGCTTCTTTCTTGCAACCTTTATGTCGCATGTTTGTTGATGCTGGCATACTACACTCTAGCACCGGCTTCAACCAGCAACTGCGCAATCTCAATGTGACCACTTTCACGTGAATACGTGAGAGCTGTCTTGCCCCTGTACTGCGATCTCATGTCCGCACGTGCTGCAGTGAGCAACCGCGCAACCTCTATGTGGCCAATCTCAGATGCCTTCATGAGAGCGGTCTTGGACCCCGCAGCCGCATCCATGTTAGCACGGGCTTCCACAAGCAACCGCACAACCTCCACGTGGCCAAGCTCGGACGCTGTCATGAGAGCTGTCTTGTGCTGCGATGCCGCATCCATGTTAGCACGGGCTTCAACAAGCAACTGCACGACCTCCACGTGGTTAAGCTCCGATGCCAGCATAAGAGCGGTTTTGCAGCTCCAGCGCTCAGTTTTTTCCATGTTAGCACGAGCGTCCACAAGCAAACGCACAAGCTGAGCATGGCCGCGTTCGGATGCAAGCATGAGCGCTGTCTTCAAGTCCGAAGACTGGGACACATCACAGTTCGTAGAGCCCTCAACCAGCAACCGCACAAGCTCAACATAGCTGCCGTCGGAGTCGTTCATGAGAGCAGTCCTGCAGGCCGCAGTCAGGTCCATGTCAGCACGAGCTGCCAATAGCGAACGCACGCTCTCAACACTGCCCCTGGAAAATTCCCAAGTGAGCTCGTTTGCAATCTCTTGCTGGTTCCATGGCCACAACGACAGCTGTACATCGCAGGGAGCAGTCAGCTCCATAGAACTACTCAACCTGCAGTTGTCCTTGAAAAGCTCTTGCTGGCAAAGTGGGAGGCCACATAGCAAACGTAAATGACGCTTTAAACCTTCACCAGTTCTCACGTCGGGGAATTTTGTCACGTCCACTTGGGCCAGCTCTTCCCCTGAAAGTCTCCAGACACGTATCATGTCGGAGCAAGTCAGGCCAACGCCTTGTCCGCATAAAGGTGAGCCAGAATGAGCTGTTGTACAGCTTCTAGTGGGCCATCCCAAACCAAACGACCGCCGTCATCAATGTATAAGTTGTTTGTGTGTACATTCGTCGCTTCATTTAAATGACATCTTACGAAAGCAGGAGACCAAAGCCTAGGTTTGAACATGACGATGATTGGCTTTGCGGATGTTTTCGCCCTCAACAAGTACAGACGACGCAGAGGAAGGTACGAGTATGATGCTAACCCTGGCTGTCGATTCTACATTCAAATAGCCTCTAAAGTAACTCCACGATATATTGTAGTTGTAAGGCCGGGGCAGGTTGCCATGTAAGAAGAACTGTAAGCCCATGCTTCACTAGCGCCAAGAGCAAGCGCGTTCAAAAAAGATCTGGGGATCCAAACTCATCTTCCATGATCGTTCATATAAGGGCAGAAATACAATGCTGGACCATACATGCACCCTGAACCCTGAACCCTGAACCCTGAACCCTGAACCCTGAACCCTAAACCCTAAACCCTAAACCCTAAACCCTACACCACTAAGCCCCTGCCCTATCTCTGAACGCTCCCATTGAGCTCCTCCAGGGAGGCTCGCAACGCGACAGAGCCCGGCTTCTCGGCGTCGATCTGCAAAGTGGCCCAACACATTTAGGCTTCCAGGCCCCTTTAGGGTTTAGGGTTTAGGGTTTAGGGTTTAGGGTTTAGGGTTTAGGGTTTAGGGGCTACTTCCAATACCAGCACCAAAACCCTTCATCCTGAAGCTACAGCTACATCTGGGGGGGATGCAGCCGCAAGAAGTGAGGTGCAAGAATGACAGGGAAAGGACGACACAAGTAGCGTGCCGTTGCTGCCACACCTACGTGTCATAGCACCATGTTGACGGCACGGTCCCTTTGGCAAAACCCAAGCCAAGAGAGGCTTGTGGGCGCAGGCCCTTCAGATCCTTCAAGCCTTCCGGGAATTTGCTTTAGTGTTGGTTTGCGGCTTTGTTTCGAGGTTTCAGGGCTATTTCAAATTAGCCGTACTTAACCCCAAGCTCTGAACTCACCAAACATCCCTAGACCAAGCCTGCCTTCCGCACAAACCAAGGCTCCTCCGTGGCGATATCGGGCAGGTGCGTGGCGTTGAGGTGCCTCGACACCGCAGTGTTTCGAGATGTTTCGAGGCTCCGGGCATGCGGGGCGGCTTCCGGGCCAACGTCCTCTCACTTCCATGGGCTCTTCGCACAAGAATCAGGCAGTCAGTTCAATCCACGCCTTTCCATGCCATCCAGTGCATCTTGCCAACCCTCATGTCTAACAGCTGCGCTAGATGCGTTGAACGGCTCAAACTCGTTATGCTCACCCGAATCTCCCCTCGGGCCTCGGGCTCTGAAATGGGAAGTCGCTTCCAGGGGATGTGCGCCACGGAGCATCATACAAATCCAAATACCTGCTTTGGGCTTAGGCGTTTAGAGTTTATGGTGCGACAAAAGGGCCGAAGAGAAAGCCTTCCGTGAAGTGGGGGGCAGGGCTTAGCCCCTGTTTTTCAGCCCGTGCGCTGCCGCTGTGGAATTAAACCCGGGAATTGCAATGTCGTTCGACTTGATCGCGCTTCATTCCGTCCAAAGAACTAGATGCAACTCGGTTCCTGAAAATCAAGCCAGTGATAGCTTCAATCAACATATTTGCTTGAACCGGTGGGCCCCGGAACCCGGAACCCCTACGGCGTTCTATTTTCATCCAAGCCTGTTCTACCACATCCTGCAACTCGCAACCGGGGTGCAAGAACTCATGTCTCAGCACCGTGTGGCAGAATGGCGAAGTCAGAAGCAAGGTCTGGAAGAAGGTTTCCTTCATGTAGCTTGAAGAGCGATGCTCGGGCTTCCGGGATTCGAGCTAGGACAAGACTGCGAAGATTCTCGGGTCCAACTAGGAGTCCTCACTCCCAACGATTCATGCAAACCAAAGCTGCAAGTCAAGAACGTGGTGGCAAGCCTTTGAGCAACCAAGCCTGCATCCACTGACGGGTTGTCCACATCTGTTGGGTTTAGGGTTTAGCGGGCCTTTACTTAAAAGTGCACGTCGTATTGCTGGGTTGCAGCTCCTCCTCGAACACTCTAGATGCTATTTTGCACGCTGCCCTCAAGTGATGCCTGAAGTCATCGCTGTGCGAACCTGAACCTATAGGAACCTAATCTTGTGCCCTAACTCCAATGCTGATATAACCGTAGCAGTAGAAGCAGACTGGTCCTCCGGAATGCTTAGGGATGCCAGATCGTCGTAGAGCCTGGTATCGGCCAAGTCTGATTGGGCTAGGCCTTATCCTTGCTGACCGGTGGAGCTGCAACACTTGTTCATGTCTGAACCATTGCCGACCATCTCCTCCTCTAGGCCCCCTCTCTCCCCCTCTCTCGTTCAGCTGGTGGGCCTCGGTTTTGTTCTCGGGCTGGGCATGCATGACGGGCCTTCCGTTCATGACCCATCCCTTGTCCTTCCCTTCCTCGCTTTCTTTCCCTCTCTACAAAGCTCTCCGAAGCATCCCTAAACTCCAGGTCCTAAGCTCCCCAATGCTGCACTAGGAGCCTAGAAACCAAGTTGGCCTCCGGCTCAGCAAGGCCTGTGACAGGCATGCAGAAGTGCCGGGCCGCAAGTTCAAACGGAACAACACATGATGAGAGAAAGCCACTGCATCGGCCATTTCCAGTGCTTAAAGCACAAGCTCCTAGGGTCCAGGGAGGTACATGAAGCCCTTGCAGAATGTGAAGGCCTCGATGCACGTACTCCACAAAGGAGCGGCTGAGAACGACCTGCAGACGGCTCGACATCGGAACGGGCTTGTGTTTCTTCAGACTCAAGACTAAACTCTACACGCGCCGACACCAAAAATCTAAAGAGCTGCACACAGTCCCTGACATCTGGGCTGAACCGCCAACCCAGGCGCCCATTCCGGCCCCGAGGCCGCAGTGATGCCCGACCAAAGCGGCGGGAACTTCTCGCCTCTGTCCAAGAGTATAGAGTAACTTCTCTATATTTAAGCTGCGTTCTGGCAGGGTTGGAAGCGTCTTCGTAGGGTTTGACAGAGTTGTTCGTGTCTCTCCAGGTTCTGAGATGGAGCCTGGTCAAGGATTCCATGCTTCCTCAACCTTTCGGGGCTTCCGATCCCGTTTCAGCTAAACGGCCTGGCGTGAGGGAGTGGAGCTGGCCCTCACACTCGAAGGCCAGAGATCGGTCGCAGGCGATGTAGACGTCCTGCTTGGCAGAACTTGGCACGCCGGAATGAGAACCCGCCCGAAACTCACAAAAATTCGGCTTCCGGTGGACTTATCTGCACCGGCCAAGAACTCTCTGTCATTCTCTGTCGGTCCTCCGACCGAGGCCCCGAGTAGGTCGCGTGCCGGCCGCCCTGGAGGGTGGGGTCGTAGTACTTCGTGGAGGTGATCCTGGCCTCAGCTTGGGTACTTGGCAGACAGCATGCTGCAATCAGAGAGAGGCTCAGGCTTGTTCTGGGCCATTCTGAGGGGGCACTCACCGTTTTCGAGACATGTTGTTGCTCGCGTTTCCTGCACGTCGGATTCAGTCCTGACCATTGGAAGTTTGCAGGAACTGCTGTTCGATTTCATCCTTGATGAGATTACAGCAGCCACCTGCCTGCCGGTCGTGCAGGTTGCTTTTGTGTTGAACTCTGCCTGACCGGACACGGGAAGTACTTTTGTTCTTTGTACCTACTCTCGGGTTGTGGGCATCTCAGCCCGGTTTCCCGGCCATACAAGCTGCTGTTCTCATTATTCAATAGAATTGCAAGTACCTCGACAATTGCACCTCGCAACTGTCCATTCTGTAATTCCAAAAGAATGGAGAGAAGCCGAGTTCATTTTTTGCATCTCCGACCTTCTGGTTCCCTGCGAGTCCCGGTTGCCAAGCTCAGAACCCCAAAAAGCACCAGAATTCCTCCATCCCAAAAAGCACCAGAATTCCTGCACTTGAACCGCCTCGTGGCTCACGAAATTGGCACTACATACTTGCTGGTTAGAAGTTGTCAGCAGTTGGTTCTAAGTTCAAGTTCTGAGGGTGGGTTAAGGACATTGCCAAGCCCAGTACAGCCTGGGTGCATAGTTGCTTCCCCGGTGCAGCCAAAGGTAGGAGGCGAACCAAGTGGGAGCGTCGGCCGGGTAATGCGTATCGCCTTCAGGAGTATTTGCGGGCCGAGAGCTTCTGCGCGCATGTATATTGCGACATGCCGCCTTGCACACAGTGAACAGGCCCTGAGCCCCCACCACAAAAGCCCTGAGGCACGTCACTGAGATTGATGTAGTACTCCCAGGGTACAGGGCTGGCCAGCAGGAGAGCGATGCCCCGCAGCTGCACGTCCAGCATGGATCGCCTCGGGCGACATGCGGCTAAAACAAGGAACTCCTGCACTATGTGGACGCTGCTTCGGGCTTGCGTCTGCATAAAACCCCTTGTGGCATTTTTCCCCTGAATTTCCTAAACCCTGCGCTGCTGCATACCCAGCCCCAAGAAAGACAACGATAGAATGACCCATAGCAGATCATAACAGTCAGCTGCGCAGCCCGCCGCGATGCACGGCAAACTCGCTGAAGATCCGAACGCGCTCCTCTGCTAGGTCCAAAAGTCCCCAGGGTTTTAGGGTCTAGAGCCCAGGGAAACGAACGTCAAAGGAGGCATGACTAAGTATCCAGCAGCCCGGGAGACATGGCTCAAAGCAAGCATGTTGCTGCGATCGAACTTCCCGAAGACACGGCCCAAAACCCAGAGCTACACACCTTTCAACTTCAGGTGCCAGATCCTCCCTCGTGTTCGCACTTGCACAGCCATCCGCTCCGAAGCCGCACAGGAACCCCACAAGGAAAACCAGAATCAGAAAAGACTCATGCCCGTTGTCGAAGGACTTGGCAGCCCACCTGCATGAAAAAAGCTCGCTGGTGAGGTTTCGTAGCCTCGTTGGCTTCCGGACTCTAGATGCTTCTATGACATGTCGACGTGGGAGGGCTCTTCCTGTATGAGGCTTCGCGTTGTTTTCCCAGCGCTTTTACAGCCGGAGGGCGGCCCAGCATGTTGTACGAAACAGCATGCCTTGGTGCGCGGACATACTGTACGCCAAGGCATTTGCTGCAGGCCATTAGGAGGCACAGCCGCACCCCCCAGGCCCCGGCGCCCCCCCGAACTCATTGACGAGATGCAACCTGGGACGCGCAACTTCGAAAAGCACGATCTCCTTTACAAAGATCTGGGGGTAGATATCGGGTAATTGCTGCCGAGGCCGAGGGTCGGAAGTCTTTGAGGCGTGACGGTAGGCCTACAGTTCGAGGCTATGGGCTTAAGTAAGAGCACAGTCCTTCCACAATCATAGCCTTTTTTGGGGAGGGCCCGGAGGTGAGTTCACGGTGGCTCCCCACCAAGCGTGGCTGGGATCCATAGCGTTCGAAGCTGTGCATGTTTTGGCTGCAAGTCACACTTTTGCACATGTCTCTCCCGCGATCTGTCTTTGTCTCTCTCCTGCCTTCGTCTTCCTTCCTTCCCTTCCCTTTCCTTTCCTTCCCTTCTTTCCTTCCCTTCTTCCCTTCTTCCCTTCTTCCCTTCTTCCCCTTCCCTTCTTGCCTGCTTCCCTTCTTCCCTTCTTCCCTTCTTCCCTTCTTCCCTTCTTCCCTTCTTCCCTTCTTCCCTTCTTCCCTTCTTCCCTTTCTTCCCTTCTTCCCCTTCTTCCCTTCTTCCCTTCTTCCCTTCTTCCCTTCTTCCCTTCTTCCCTTCTTCCCTTCTTCCCTTCTTCCCTTCTTCCCTTCTTCCCCTTCTTCCCTTCTTCCCTTCTTCCCTTCTTCCCTTCTTCCCTTCTTCCCTTCTTCCCTTCTTCCCTTCTTCCCTTCTTCCCTTCTTCCCTTCTTCCTTTCTTCTTTTCTTTCTTGGCTTGTTGCTTCTCTCCAAGAAACCCCGCATAATCGTGGCAGGCTTAGCAAGGTAGGGAAAGACACCCTGGTGACCTTCGGAAGTCATCGAGCTGGATCTGGCTGACCACCTTCCAGGAACAGCAAAAAGCAAACCACAACCGGAGTAACACAGTGATGTATACAGCAGAATAGCAAAACTTACATCTCTATTTGCCCCTCACCCCGCCCCCCCTGTACCCACGCTTGCGCTTGGGCTTGAGGTTTTCCAAATCTACGGAACCATGGCTCACAGGACTCGCTGGTGCTAGAAGTTTGTGGGAATATGGGAAGTAGTCAAGGACAGCTCCTGGGACAACCGATGCGCTTCATCAGGTGCCGTGCTGGAAACGAAAACACCCTCTTCTTGCTTTGTTCGTGAAGTTCGCCCTAGTTCTAACATTTATACATGATTAAGGTTCCTACTTAATTTAGTTCATAGTATAGGCATTTCGAGACATAGAAATGACAGCAGCACTGATCATGCCAGCTTATGCGCACTGAGCTGTTTTCATGCAAGAAGCTGCGCAACACGCTCAGTGCTGGAAATGACGATCCAAGCCGTTCTTAGAACGGGAAAAGAGGAATGCCACCCTCCCCGGTGATGGAGGAAGGGGTGGGCGGAGGTCACAAGCGAGAGATCTCGAGAATGAAACGGCATTTTTCGTGCTATAAGTCATTTATGTGCAAGCACTGTACATGACAGCAGCACTGATCATGCCAGCTTATGCGCACTGAGCTGTTTTCATGCAAGAAGCTGCGCAACACGCTCAGTGCTGGAAATGACGATCCAAGCCGTTCTTAGAACGGGAAAAGAGGAATGCCACCCTCCCCCCCTCCCCTAACCAGTCACAGGACACTGATCTTGAGGGAGCGCGCGATGGCGAGGCAGAGCGCGCGTGGGTAGGGCTGGGCACGCGCAGCGTAAGAAGTACCCGTGGCATCCGTCCCCTGCAGAAGGATGTGGCGCTGCCCTGATGCTGAACATCTGCCAAAGTGAGCATCGCATGTTCTGGAAACGGGCTGCAACCACTCAGCGGGCTCACAGAGAAAGAGCGTGGCTTTTCTCCAAGGCATCTTGTATTGGCAGTAATCAACGGGGACGAACATGGCACCAGAGACCTGCAGGTGTTTGATTTGTGGCGTAAGCCAGGCTCGTGAGGAAGCTGGATTTTCAATGACCGAACGGATACCTCTTCGCCGGCAAGCATGGGCCAAATCGGTGGTGACCTGCAAGAGGGCGTTGCCGCGAGCCACCTTTGCCTGGTCTGCGCGACGAAGATCAGGAAGCCCCAAGATGTGTTCACCATCGTCTCTCAGCGGAGGTGGACCACCATCATCCTTGCGAGCCCGCGACCAGGAGGTACCCGGCATCCCAAACCACACCAAAACGATGGGGAGAGTATCAAGCATCTTGAAGATACGAGACAACACGCCTGTGCGAAGTACATCACAGCCATGACCATAGTCAATGTCGACAGCGATGCATGCAAAGCCGCACTCAGCGCACGCCCGAGAGAGGTTCGCACTGCCAGAGAAAATTTCGAGGACCCAACATTTTGGCTGGCTTAACGAGTGAAAGAAGATCTTTGCATCAATCGGCCAAGGTCCTTCTCGGCCTGACCCGCTGCTTGTTGCACCTCCTGGGGCAGCTTCTGGAACTCGCCGGCTACCTTGCCGTGGGCCTCGTACCGCTTCACACTGGAGTCGGACCCCCAGCGCCCGCGGAGTTTTACTTCCATGAGCGACCTCAGGTTTGCCAGCCGGTCGTGACTGGGCCCGGAGTGCCTCAATTGATACATCACCGCGTATTGGCTTCCCAATCCCACTTGCTCCAAAGCTGATTCCCAATGTGCTCGTAGGAGAGGGTAGGTGAGCGCGAAGAGATCCTTTCCTTTCTTCAACTTGGCCAGCCGACCGAGCATGGGACCGAGCTGCGGCAAAGCAGGTGAGTCGATCACCACCGTCTCGTCCGAGAGCCCCACTTTGCTGGATTCGTATCTCTCCAGGGGGTGGAGGTTGATCGTGAAGTGTTTGCTTGAACGGTTCGGCCTCACCACATCGTTGGCGTGGATTCCCAGCGCTTCGCCGGGTCGTAGGTAAGCCGAGAACATCAGCAGTATTGCCAGGGCCGCCTCCGGCAAGTTGCGAAGGAGCAGGTTTGTGGCGATGAGCGCCACAAGTAAGAAGGACAGGGGAGGCCTCGTCGCCCCTGGATCCAAGTTGGCCCAGCCCTTCAAGCATCTCCTGCACCTTGGCAACTGTCCCATCTGGGAAGAGCCGGGCCTGATGTCCAACACGGCCGCGAACGTTTTGTTGCCTTCTGAGATGTCGCTGCCTCCCAAAAACATGCTCTCGAGAAATTTTGCTAAGCATGCATCTAACTTGGTCATGGGCATAGTGAATATGTTCTTGATCTTCGCCACCTGGAGAAACTTCTGGAGTCGCCTGCTGTAGTCGTTGGCCACTTCCTGCGAGATGGCAACCTGTTCCAGGAAAGTTTGCCCTGGGAACCGAGGCTGAGCTGAGGTGACCGCCAGCTTCTGTCGCTTCACCGCTTTCTCCTCCTTGGAGTTCCCCTGGATTGATCTGCGAATGGAAGAGCGACGCGCCGACAAAGTGCTCGGCTCGGCTAGCTTGCTCTCCTTCAGCATCGGGATGGTGACGTTGGCGAGAAGGGGGTCCGGAGGGTCCGAGCAACTGCGACTTCTTTTCATGGACCTTGGCTTTGCGCTTGGCTTCCCATCGCCTCGAAGCATGGTCAGCAGGGTTGCGCTCACTGGGCACCCACCGGTGATGGAAAGTGCAGTTCGCGGCGATCACAAGGGCGCAAAGTCGCCGACACACCCGAAGCATAGGATAAGAAGCAGATCTGCCCTTCTCGGCACAAAGCACATTAGCAAGATTGTCGTTGAGATGAAGATGTTTCTTGCCGAAATTTTGCACCACCCTACACTTGTGGCGAACAGCCGCTACGACTCCTCTGGCTTCGAGAATGGTAATTGGTTCAGCATGATGCATCTCACACGCAAAAGCAACAGACCACTCAGAAGCTGTCATGAAATCATCGGGCACCTCGTTAAAGTCAGGGTTGATGGAAAATGGATCTTCGGGCAAGACAATGTGGGGCTTGACAGATTGAGTGTCACTGAAGGGATCCAGGCTAAGATCCTCTGCTCCACCGATGGCACTTTCACGCGGGGCCACAAAGTCACGGGCTTTGAACCTCCAGGCCTCCTTGCAGCGCCCTATCTCGGAAACTTGCTCTACCCCAGCATGCCGACTGCACACCGCGATACCACTAAGTGACGCATCAGAAGCGGTAGGCACTTCAGACCAAACCCTTCTCAAGTTCGCATGGCATACTGGTAATAGATTTGCAATCCACTCAGCTTCGCGAGCCGCAGAAGGCCATAGACGTCTCCGTGCTCTGTATGACCTTTGGATGAAATCATAGAGCGACCGCATACAGCAGAGCATTTCACGACGCACAAGCATAAAGTGTATCGCGTGCCCCACTAATTTCTCAACGGCCCTTCCATTGACCCTTGGCCTGCGGGCCAGCCATCTAAAAGCAGCAATGACCAAACCAACCTTATCAGGAACGGGCTTGACGACACCCGTGGCCCCATCGACGCTGAAGCCCAATGAGGTGGCTGAGGCGCATGCGTCGAGTTCTTCATGCACTCCAAAGCCTAGAGTCCTGAGCCGCGCAACGGCCCCATCCTTTGCTTTCTGGACCCGTTCTTCGTCGGTGCCAGTCACATTAAGGTTGTCTGCATAGGCAATGACAGCAGGTTCACCCCCTGACAAGTCGGGAGCTGGACGGTCGGCTCGCACGAGTCGAGCATCGGAGAGGCCTGCTCCAATCAAAGCTTGCACTTGATGCACTCGTTGTGCCCACCACATGGCCCATGACCATCCCATGGGGACGACCCTGAAAGCTGGAAACACCAATCCCTCAACTGAAGCACCTGTCCAGTCCTTGTTCGCCACGCCCCAAGCATGAATGGCCTGCACGGGAATGGCGGGAAGACAAAAGAAAGGTTGTAACTCATGCGGTAGTCGAAGCGAGTAAAAATAGTCCTTTATATCAGATTGTGCAATGAAGAGGTCCTCGCCCAGCGGTATCTCCAACTGCGACCAGGAGCTTCCTGCGGCCAGGGCGATTGAGGGAGGTTCTCGAAACCGCTGGTTGACGCCCCGACAATCCAAAACCAAACGTAGCTTTCCGGACTTCTTAGTGACAAAGAAGGGGGTGATGAGATCACGAGGTTTCTCGGTGAACGAGACCATTCCACCCTCAAAAAGCCGCTGCACAAACTGCACATATGCCGCGCCATCTGTTTTGAGAACAGGATCCATGTATGGTCTAATGGTATCCCCAATCTCGATCTTGTGGCCCCACTCATCCGGAGACAGCAGCATGTTCCCCAAAGGGTCCTCCAAAATATCTCGACCAAAGTCATCGACAAGATCACGAAGGGCAGGAGGATCAGTCCCGACCTGCGGCAGCGAGACGAGGTCAGGTTGGTAGGGCCGCACGGTAGTCAAAGCCTCCTCCGAGTAGGAGAGGCAGGTTTGCAGAAGCGTTCGAGACGCCTCACGCTCACTGTACATGGGAATGCTTTCTGACACTGCCATCACCTGATTCAGAATCTGTGTCTGAGCCACCCTCTGCGCAAGGGTAGGATGTTCAGATTGCGGCAAATTCACTGGGGCCTGCGCATACATCTCGTTGAGCGATCCGATCACCTTGTTGGCCATTCCTGCCCTCCGATTGAACCGTGCCATCCGGCGTCGCTGAGACTGACTAGTATGTGCACTTGGATGCTCACGAAGGGGGATATTGGGCACAGGAAAAAGGTCTCTATGCCTGTCAGTACCCTCAAAATCAAAAAACGACGAAGTTTGCGAAGGATCCAAATTAGCGCCAGTAGCCTGCGCACATGGGCGGCCGCCGGCTCGGGCTGCTTGACTCACCTTGGCGTCCCCAGCCCTCCAGGACGCCAATGGCATGCTCATTACTGATTGCCGCCTCCACCCGAAGGATCCTTCTTTGGACCCCGCGGATTTCGGCGACGGTTTTCGGCTTCCTCTCTCGCCTTCCTGGCCTCCTTGGCCACTGCTGCCTCGTTCTTGAGCTCCGAGGCGACGTGTGCCGCCAGACCTGGGTCGACCCCTTGAGTGGCCTTGCGGTACTTCCATCCCATGTACAAGTCGGCCGCCGAATAGTCCGGAGCCGATGGAGAGATCCTGTGAGCTTCTCGTATGACTTGCATTCGTCTGACCACTAGCTCTGCAGACTGAAGGGCTGGGACATGTAGTTGATCCACCACCAACATGCTTTCAAGGATGCGTGACAGACACTCGTGCTCGTAGACGGATCTATCGCCTTTAGATATTTCAGCCTGACGCAGCCAAAACTCATGAAAAGTAGTTGGCGTGAGCCCCTGATCCCGGATCATCTTGATGACATTCAACAGAGATGCAGGACCCTGAAGCTGAAGTCCTCCTCCTTGGGGAGAAACTTCACGCAGCAGCGCGACACAAGAGTTGAACTCTCTCCTCCGAATGCCCTGGGCATCAAAAGAGACAGGGAGCACCCTCACATCATCAAACTTCATCTCGGCAACTTTGTCAGCAGCAACCTTGCATGCAGCGATGACCTTGCCCTGTGATGGGACCAAAGCACGGTCTCCAGAGATGACGTGACCAAGCGGTAGCGGAGCGGGATCAGTTGCAATCACGTCCCCTTGCTGGTAGGCACCGCCTGTCTCCATCGCCACCCAAGTTGTCACCACCCCCGCGGCAGCGACTGCCCCTTGGGCAGGGGCAGGTGGGGCTGCGCCGTGGACAGCTGGAGCTCCCACCACCGGCAAGGGCGCCGGCGGGGCCTGTGGCGCAGCCCTTCTCCTCTGGAGCTCATTGTCAGCCTCCCGCCGCCCGGACCTCAAGAGATCCCCAAAATGCCTCGCGTCCATTGGTGCGAAGCCATACACTTGGCCTGCTGGCACTCCTCTAGGCACTCGGCCGTCTGCTGCATGCCAGAACCTTTGGATATCCGGATTCACTCCAGCATAGACTTCGGGATAAATGTCCCTATCCGGCGTGATGATCATCCACTCCTGCGGTTCCAACTCGGCGGCCAGGATGCGTGTGTGGTAAACTCCGGGATCCCCATGATACAAGACATATACCACATCCCCAGCATTCATGCTCCCTCAGCTAATTGTCCAGAATCTGCAAACCCTTGCTCGCTCCAAAGACGCCCTTGCCAGGACGCCCTTTCAACGACAAAGTGAGTTCTTGGCCCCCACCTTCTGTATTGCGGAAACTGATCTTTAACACCAAGAAAAGATTGGCGCCGAGTAATGCAGTGAAGATCACAATGAAGACCCACAGGACTGCGTTGTTGTTGTTCTCCTGCCCTCTCTCCGGCGGGACTGCGCAGTGGCACTGGCAAACAGTTGGCTCTTTCGATTCAATCGGCCTAGAGAAAATCCAACCAATTGCCAGCCCACTGAGACCTATCAGTCCATGGGCAGGATCCATCTACTCTTCACAAGCGAGAGATCTCGAGAATGAGACGGCATTTTTCGTGCTATAAGTCATTTATGTGCAAGCACTGTACATGACCTCTAACTATGTTAACTAAGAGTCTACTTCGATGCCTCCTTTTCCGTAAGCTAACGAAAATACGACGGCGATTTGTTGTTCTCATTCCTTTGGGTAAAACAAATAGCCCCCGATTACACCACATAACCAGCCCCGGATAGAACTAAGAATCGCCCTTCGATTGGCCACCAACTATGCAAGTCAAATTGCTTAGCTATGAAGATTTACGAAAATACAACTGAAGCAAACGGCCGTCTGTCTTTAACCACTGGTTAAAGTCATTCATGGGCCCTTGTGTGAAATAACTGAGTTGAAAAACTGGTCACATACTGGAGCCCAAATTTGCATACTCTGGAAAAGTTGGCCATACCAACTTTCTCCACGAAATTCTTTCGAAGATGTAGTTAGTTATAGAAAAAATGCCCGACCAACTTTCCGGATATTTCTAAAACTATGCATGGGTGATTTCACGGGAAAGATGGGCCTACCAACGTTTTTCACGACATTCGAAGCGGTATTGGCGCTGTCAACATTTCCACGAAGTCCTGGTCCCAAAGTTCAAAACCGTGGTCATGTTGGAGTGGGCCACACCAACTTTTTTCACGAAACCCGAGGAGGTGTTCGTGGAACAAGTTGGCCACAGTTGCAAGAAGCTAAGTTGTCCCGAATTTGAAAGTACGCTTTTGTTAACTACTGCCTTTTTTGAATTCCCCTGAGCACAAAACCCAAAACTTGAAACTTGACACACCAAGGCACGAGAGGAATATCATGAGCAGGGGCTGCAGTTCCCAAACGAATTTCATATCTGCTGAGTGCGTTGTCATCTTTTCAATGCATGGTTGGTTTGTAGGAGAATGTGCTTCGACCCTTAAAGCTCACCGAATGCTTCTCCGACATGTTTTCTTTTCTTGTAGGGGAGATGTTCTTTGTCCAATAAATTGTTCGTTTTGGCCCAAAACTTCACAAAACGCGCATTTTCTGAGTTGTTCGTATGGAGTAGAAGCCCAAAGTGCCAAAGTGCAAGAAGCACGACGCCTTAGCAACACCACTCTCAATACTGATGGCCTTCTGATCCAGGTGCACAAGCGCCAATCCCTCTGTCGGGTCCAGCAGGCGGGCAATCAAGCGCCGAACCTGCGCCTGTGCTTGGGGCTTGCACGAAGACTCTCGAGGTTCTTTTTTGGGGCAAGAGCCTCTGTAACATGCCGTTTCGTCAAGTCGCAGGATATGCAGGACCAACACGTCTGGTACTTTTCTTGGGTGCAGCCATCCCAAACCTCCTCCCAAGCTTGCCCTCGAGTGACAAAGCTTATTGATCTCGAGGGCTGCAACCATGCCGCCCGCACTTCGGAATCGAACAAATATTTGGGCAATCCAGCCTTCAGACACAAGATAGTCGAACAAAATCAGCGCGCGCCACGCATCATTTTCTACCCACTGCAGAAATCCCAAGAACTCTAGATCCTGGAATCTTGAAAGCTGAGTTTGCAGAACGACACTCGACCAAGTGGCAAACTTGTCGTGCGCGAGGATGAGGTATGCCAGGGCAGCCTGCCGAAAGCCTCAAAAAAAAGTCGGGGCGGTGGAAGCCCGTGACAACGCAAAGGGCGATCACAACTTGCGAGGACTACCAAAACCACGTAAGCCGCAAGTCGCACTTGCCTCGCACAAGCCGGGCTCAACTTGCTCAGCCCATGCTGAAAGTGCACACCTTCCGAATGTCGCCCTGGAACTCTGCAGCTCCGTCGACACCTCCGCAGTCATCTTGTCCCCACAGAGGTCTGCGGAGGAAGCAGCTGCCGGTGTCCTGTCAAACTTCAGACGGTTGGGCTGTGCGGAGTAAGCTTTGACCTCATGGCTGCAATTGGAGACTTAGAATGAAGGGTTGAGTTCTCGAGTTTTGTCAGGGCCTGGTGCATCCAACGCAGTCCTGGCCTGCGGGTCCTACTCCGAAGGGCGTGGCTAGTGGGGTGCCTAGGGCCTATGGCAGATCTGCTGCCCGTGAGGTCTGGGAGAGGACTTTCGGCATGCAGTGGACTCAGTGTTTGTGTCTGTGAGATGGGGTTCACATCAAAGATACTACGTATACAGTCGCCAAGTCGGCTTGCAATAGACACCGATGATGCACAGCAGCAGCAGCAGCAGCAGCAGCAGCAGCAGCAGCAGCAGCAGCAGCAGCAGCAGCAGCAGCAGCACGATACATGTGCGGCCAATGTGCGACTGGGGCCATCCTGATCATGATTTATGCTCTATGCCGCGCCCTTCATGTCCGGTACCTGGCTAGTAGGAACGCTGGCATGGCACATTTTTTCCAATGGCGCGAGCCCCCCCCGATTTCTTGCGCACATTCCCCCGAACACAGCTTCCCACACACCTCACCACACCAGAAAGGATAGTTCGAGCCCGTGAGCGGTAGTGTCTGGCTGCTGGCAACATAAACGCAGAGTGAAAGTGCATGGGAAGATGCAGAAAAATGTACTGGCAATCTCTTCACCCGGGCAGTGTTCGTACATGTTTCTCTTTCGGCCACTTCGCCCCTACGTCTTGCGCACTACGCCCATGGGAATTGCGAAGGTGAAGATTACCCGTGTGCAGCAGCGGACGATCTTACTTCCTGGTGCAAAAGAGCCTGCGGCTGCAAACCTGAACATCGAGGCTCGTGACGGCAGATCTCCAGAATCTACGCTCGGCCATATGAATCCCCAGTAAATAGCCTGCGTGCCTGAATCTCAACCCTTGATTCATGAGCTTGCCGCTTGCCACCTTTCATCTCACGGCAGCCGACCTTGACACAAACGCCTTTGCCTCGCACCCCCCTACGTGTCGTCCGCTGCAGATTAAACACTCACAGCTCGAAGCGAATTAGACCTTGGAGTTGAGGATCCTGAAGCTCTCCGGAGGCTCGGGCTGTTGCGACATGAGGGCTGAGGGCTGTGGGGGCTGAGGGCTGTGGCTTCTGAGGGTGTGCGGCTTGCGGTTTACTTTGGCCACGTTTGGGGCTCAGAACCGAGGAGTGCACTTCAGCCAGCCTCCAGAAACACGACTTCGCTGAAACCCCGGCTTTCCGGGTCCACTTCATGGGCTAGGATGAGGGTTCCAGCAGACACCACCAGTGGGCGCCAGCCGCACCTAGGCATGCACTTGCAGCTCGCACTCTGGGAAACTTGAAAACAAGGGGATACAAGGGGACTTGCGGGGAGGGGAGGCAGGCAACTCAGGGCTAAGAGCGTGAAAAATGATGCACAGTTAAAGGCATGGGCTGCGAGAAGTCACTTCGAACCAGCCATACATGATCATACATGTCATCCGCTGGATCTCCCTATTGACCAACGCCAACACAGGCCTACAACCCTTCTACTTCCAAAACCCTAACCTCCAAACCCAACCCAATGGCCGAATCTAAACCACAAATTCTTCGAAAAAGCTGACCCCCTTGCGGCGTGTTCCGTGTCGGAGAAGGCAACTTTCGGCAACACCCCGCTCTTCAAGGATCCTGCAGCTTGTCCAGCCGAAAGGCGGCAGTGCCTGAACTGTACGCTGCTGCCAATCCAGCAGCCAGGAAGCTCCCTGCGCGCGATAGGCGACCAGGCCTGGCTGGATTTCGAGAACGGAGTTTCGACGACGGCTTCTCTGTGGCAGCTCCCTCCAACGATCCCAGATACCCCAAAACCTTTCAAATCCTGCCCTGCTGCCCTTCTGCCCTTCCGCCCTCCTTCCGAAACGGCATCCACGGCCAAGCCCTCGACAGGTGCAGACCTCACACTGAACGACTTGAAGAGGCCATGGCCAGGACTTATCGACTCCTTGGAGCTGCTAAGACGGTTTGACGCTGCAAGGCGCTTGTGTGAATTCAAGCTATCTGCAAGCCCTCCAAGCTTCCAAGGGGATCCGGCAAACAGCTTAGTCCTAGCGTCTGCATCGGCAGCATTCTCCTGTCCGAATCTAAGCACTCCCCCCGCAAGAAGAGTCTGCGTGGTGCCGGGCGGCATGCTGGATAGTTGGCGCAACTCCAACTCCACGGGCGCCGTGGAGTTTGCAGGCTGGGGAGCCACCGCAGTAAGGGCAGCAAGCCTTCAAACAAGCGTCTGTAATGACTACGGTACTGCACCGGCTACGTGAAATTTGGAGGTCTTCTGCAGCTTGAGTTGGCTCGGGAAGCCCGGATTCTTCTGATGTCGACATGGTCGCATCATGCTTTTGAGATCGCAAGCTTTTGAGATCGCGGTGATCGGCAGGGCGGCATGGCACTATCAAGGAAAGGGCCCATAAATGTGCAGGGATTGGACATGCCAGGTGACCCCCATGCCACTGACATCTGCCAGGTAACAGTCGCCACTGATCCTGGTCGGCCAGTAGCAGCAGCAGACCCAGCCCGCTGCAGTAGGTCGTTGGACAGGGATCCTTCAATGCTCTGGGGGGCGAGTGGGGGTATTGAACTATCATGGTAAGTTTGCTGAGCAAAGAACGGACTAAGCGCACGTAACAGCCGCACGGGCCGCAAGGTCTCAATCTCTCATCCTTGCAGCATTTCAGATTCAAATAGAATTTTGCAACGGCACTTTCGCTTTTCTGCATCCCCGAACTTGAACCTGGAATTCAGTTCGAGAGCATGGGTGCTGAAGTCCTGGGGCGGCACGACGCACGCCGCCGCACCCAGGTCAACAAAAGCCAGGCAATGGCCCGAGTCGCTGTAGACCTGAAGCTCGCCTCGACAAGGTCTAGCATCTCAGCAGGGCAAGGCACGTGGGCTCCTTATAGCAGGCTGCTGCCATCGTGGGCGCTTGGGTGAGACAACTCTAAAACCTCAGAGCTCTGGGAAGCCCGAAGTCGCCTGCGCCCACTTCATCCCGGAGGACCAGCGCTAGACGCTGCTGGGGCAGAGCTTCAAGGCACGCCGGAGATGGGGGCCTGGTGTTGACGAGCTTAGGTCGCGGCTTCAGCCAAAAGGTTAGGAAGGCTTCAAGGTGCTTGCAGGGTCTGCAAGGCCTTTTAGGGCACCAGAACAAACAGCTGTGAGGCCAAAGACATTTCACGCAGCTTTCTTGAACCCCATGAGAGCCAGATGAACAACGCCGAAGGCCTCAAAACCTGCGCCCTTGCCTGGCCCGGCTGCCGCACCAGGCAAGTGTGAAGGACGTAGCCCCCAGCGTCCCTGCAGCTTTCCCACCGAAGGGTGCCGGGGCGTTTCTCAGTTTTGGATTCCTCGCCACCTCCGGCCTAGGGGAGCCAAGTCTCCATCTGCACACTAAACCCACAAGCCTTCAAAGCTTGAAGAACAACTCTCGGAGCAATCTGTCTCCCAAGGATGTATGACATAGCTTCACAATTTCGGGCCTTCTCACAGGACTCTGCTCAAAGGTGTGGAACAAGTCTCTGTCCAATCATTTTCTAGGCACCCTGCAAGAACCGAAAAGCCTCTGAACAACAAATAACCATTCTACGCCAACCTCATAGAGCACCATAGGACACCCCCACAGCTCCTTGTCCCCGGCCTCCCCCTGCTGCCTGCTCCGGGTGCCACCTCGGTCCCCACAGGCTGCGTTTCGGGACCTTGTGGGGTGACGCCCGGGCCACAAGATGAACCATTGAGTTGGGTCATCGGGCTCAAGTACCTAGCCTGTCAACAGGAATATGGCCGGGCCCGAACCCGCAACACTTCACTTCCGAGGCACGACAAGATGTGGACGGCCCCTGCAGCTGCAACAGCAGCAGCCTGGTTCATAAAGCTGGAGGAGAATTAAACATCCCCTAAATTGAAGGCTGCGAAGTTCTTCTTTGCTTATCTGCGCGGCATCGAACGGAATCTAGCGGAGAGGGGTGATTGGGGTTTGAGTGGCTGAAAGAGAACTCAGGGTCGAAACCCCAAGTTCCCACATCAACTGCACAGGTGCTCCTGGCCTGATCCAGCGCCGCCGGCCCCGCCAGCAGAGGAGCCAGGGGCCCTGGAGGGGGAGCAGCTCGGCTTGGTGGACAGCTTGGAGCCCTCCATTTCTTCTCCAACATGTCTGAAAGCCCCTGAAAGCCCTGAACTTCCTCGTCTCAGAAGAACGAGCCTCGCAAGCGGGCCTTCAGGTGCAGCTTGCCTGACACTGATGCTTGTGTTTTCGAAGCAAAATAGGCAGATCCAACTCGAGTTGGATCTCAAGATGCAAAACGACAGGACGAAAAGCAGGGTTGCAATCGTTCTGACCACGGCTCCATCCATCATTCCAGCCCTGGGGTTGAGAAGGTTTTCATGCTCGGAAGCATGGCTCAAACAAACCTTAACTCAAGCCCCTCAGTCGCGCACCCTCCGAAACGCTTGCGTTGTAGAACTCGCCTACGGGAGAACACCGCGCCCGAGATTCACGTTCGGCCTTCACTGCTTCGGTTGAAAAGCCGCGTCTCGAGGGCGCAGCAAGGCACCCCGCAAGGCTCTCCTGCTTGCAACAGCTCGACCAAACAGCGGTGGTTTGTGCCCTGATTCTCCTTGCCGGGAAGAGCAATCAAGCCGCAGCATCCCAAATGAAGCAAGCAACCTTGAACCTTGAAGAAACCTCTTGACGCTCCGGGTTCTGGACACGGGGGGGATGATCGCTACCCTTTTCTTTCTGCCATCTTTTGAGATGGCAACCTCCCCAGGGGGCACCTGCGCCTTCAGGAGAAAAGATCACCAGCCAAAGGTCTTGACCGGTCCTGGGCAAAACTCAGGCATCTGCCATTGAAACATGCCCTGTCATCTGCAATTTGCAGGCTTTTTTTTTGCCATCGTCTTGCGAATTGCACTGCGGCCCTCGAACAGAACACCCTGCAGGGCTTGGGGGGTAATCAGGTTCTAGAAATGGAGGGGTCGGATTTTTTGTAGATAACAGGAGAGTGACCAGATACATGGGCTGTTCCTCGCTGCCTGCACCTGCTACCGAACCCTACAGAGTGCTGTGTCGAGAAAGTGTGGTATTGCGCCCCCCCTGCTTATGCGTGGCATCCATGAAACCCATCTGGTCATGGGGCCTATCAAAGGCCACTGCCGCACTGGCCTCAGCTGGCAGAGGGACCTGCAAAGGGCTGAAGGAGGCGAAGGGGGTTGCTGCTCATAGTTGGAAAGAAAAGCTCGCCGTTCTTCAGGACCTGGCTACCGTCTCACGAGAGCCAATTGAGTGCAGTGGTCTGTCTCATTCGCATTTAGCTCGGCGGTGCAAGGCTCAGGTGTTTCGAGACGTGCTTTTTGGGCAGAACACGGAAGCTTCCTCAAGGTCCGCACAGCCAGTGGCTCAGCATGCAGCTGAATTACATGACTTCAACGTATGAGGATCGAAGGTTCAAGCACCCTGCCTTCACCGCCTCCGTCTGGTGCCAGCAAACCGGATCCTACGAGTGAGGAGTTGAGGTGAGTTTGGGGATCTCTTGCGGATTGAGCAATTGGCTCTCAGGCAGGAGGATTTGCTTGTGCCGGTAGGGTGGCTGTCTACCAGCAGTTGAGCTGGAGTGTTCATAGCTGCTGTACGAAAATCGCAAAGCTGCAGGGTTGATTGGTCAAGAAACTGAAAGTATCAGGGACATGCGGACCCAAAGTATAATTACCCTGTTCAAGTTGGGAACCGAAACGAAGGTAAACGACACAATACTAAAAGGTAAAGAGCGTAGTGATGAACGCTTTCAATGATATGATGCTGAGTGAATGAATGTTTGTACGGCGGATCTATTTGGCGCACTCTTCTACGCCTTAATTATTCTACGAACGAACAGTGACTGAAATGAGCGTACATGCGTTCACTTTGTTCACACGCTTTACTATTAACATAAAGTGTTAAAAAAAGGGCGCGCGTCCTCATTTCCAACATTCAATCACTCACTGTGTTCGCGTGTACGCGCTCATAATATGGTTGTAAGAAACACTGCGAACTATATCACAATAAGCCCGAACAAAGTGAATGAGTGAATGTGGTGAATTCACGTACACCCAACCCTATATCTCCCTTCAGGTCCACCGGAGGCCACAGTGGCCTCCCATGTGCCCAACGCAGCCGCATAGCCATACCATGGTCTCTGTGATGGACCAATACACCAATACACAAATCAGAACACGCAGCGAAGTACGATTCTTCGGGCATGCTTGGACAATGATTCTTCATGGCAAGTACTACTAGATACTGTAAGCATGAGCCCTCATATTCACGCTGCATCATGCTGAGTTACCTCAAATTGCTTCGAAGAAGTCGCACCATGAACGTACCTCTATGCACCCACCAGGCCCTGAAATTTCAAGACGGGCGTGCTACGGACCACCCCCAAACCTTTCGAAGAGAAGCATCCCATGTCCGAGGCACGGTCTGCCAAAGCTCGAGGAATTGCCGCGTGAGGACGGCCACGCCCATCACGCCGACATCCTGGACGAAAGCGAATTGCTTCCGCTTGGGAGACACAAGATGGCACCAAGGTCTTGGGGTAACGCAGTTTCTGCGCCTGAGGCACCGCAGATCAAATCACTACTGTTACACCAACCATCGATCACTAGAAACTGGCATTAGAGTATCATGGTGCTTGGAAGCTTGGTGACCGTCCTTCAGTTTTGACCGTGTGACGTGCAGCACGTCCCAGGGCATACTGCCAGCTCACAACCACTTCTTGGGCCTGTGAAACTAACACCGAAGCTCGTGTCTCTGTTCTGCTTGCATCTGAACTTAGTAAAATTTCTCTTGCCTGCACTGCAGCTGCCACTGCCAGGATCCTTGGTGGATCGGAGACTCGATGCCAAATGCCGTGCTCACATACGGAAAGTCTTTTGGCGGAAAGGCCCCGTTGCCTAGGTGATGCGGGTTGTGCAGGCTCTATGGGCTTCATCATGCGAAGGGCGGTGTTCGCGTGTGATTTGCCGAGCTGCTGCAGTCGGCACCATGCTGCATGATGCGGCACCGTTTGGTGCTTGATGTTCTTCGCCCCCAAATCCCAAGCTGTAAACAATGAAAGCCTTAAATCCGAGCCATGGGGATCGCTGAACCTTTGAGGCGAGGTGCTCCGCCTGCTCTCCGTTCTCAAACTCCTGCCATCAGAAGGTCGCACCAAGCCCTTCAACTTATGGCCCACGGGACACTGGGAAACTGGAGGCCAAAGCCTACACCCAGCCCCGAAACCCTTGACCTGCAAGTCCTGGCATGAAATCACCCGACATGTGCCCAGGCAGAAGGATCGATGGCCCTGCGAGCACTCTCAAGAGTGCTCTCCTCCGAGACGGCTGCAAGACGAAAGCGGGGCACGAGTGTCGAGTCCGCCTCTTCAGGATCCGGGGAGGCAAAGGGATATGGGGGTTTCCGAAGTTAGGGTACCCTGTCGGGGTCCTTTTTGTAAGGTTATAAGGGATTCCAAGGGATTCCTACTATTTGGGGTGTCGTAATATTGCATGGTTGAAGAAGGAGCAGGAAGGAGCAGCGGTGTCTTGCGAGGTTGGGGGCCAGGAACTGGGACAGATGGCTTGGGCTCAGGAACCAATGCACGGGTGGAACGTTCTGCCGTTGAACAAAGTATGGCTACATGAAACGCAACCATGGTCCTTTTTTTGCGGCCCTTTTGCAGCTACAGCAACTGTTGGCCATTGGGTGCTTTCTATTCGCCCCAATGCGAGAAAATCCCCCAGAATCCATGAACTGAGAGCTCACCGCGGCGCCTCCACAAAGCGCTTGCGCTTTCGTGGCGCTGTGGCAGCCTGCGCTCTAGAAAGAGGCGCATTGTGGTGACTTCGACCGGTGGCCAGATGTAGGATGAACGGGTTGATTGTGCTAGACTGCGAAGACTGCTAGACTCTACAACCGTGAGCTCCAAGGTCCTGCAGACTATTTAGCCAGTCGGCGAATGTACAAGTCCGATGTCTGTGCACGCAGCCCAAGACAGAGTAGCCTGGTCCAATGTGCGAGAGTTCTGCCAATGTTCAAGTTGCTGGGCCTGAGATGCTTGAAGTCTCTGAGCAACTCCGACAAGCTGAGTTGTGTTCACGCCACAATTGCAGCTCTCGGAAATGACCGGCTTCTCGTTTTGAGGCTCATCTCACAGGAGAACCAGTCAGGATTTGGACAGGTTTCGAACTGTTGACCGACCACCTCAAGCTTGAGTTTCAAGACTCATGGCTGCCGCTCGGTTGCACTGTCTTCTGCGGATGCCAAGAGATTCGCCAGGCACCTTCGCCATGATGCTGCGGAAAAGCCGCATATGAGAGGGCCAGAAAACATGCTGCACTCAACCAGCCCAAAAAAGCAGCCTGCGGAGCTCAGACCGATCTCTTCGCAGGGCCAGCGCCTGGAAGGTTCGGCTCAAAAGAAACTGTTTAGGGCCTCGGGGATGTATTTGCCTCCCCCCCCCCCCCCTAAAAATCCCCCCCGCCCCCCCCCCCCCCCCCCCCCCGCCCCCCCCCGCCCAACAATTTTTTGCCACCTGAATCGCTGACCTCTCGGACACGCTGCAGGGAACAAACTGGGGAAAACATTGCTAGCGTGCCACTAAACTCAGCAGAAAATCCTCTCATCAAGTCATCGGGTCACTTGCAGAAGCATTGGAGCCGAGGCCTTTTGGAGCGTTTGCTAGACGCCCAACATGCCTCTACAGCTCAGCTCTCAAGACAAGAGCTTCGACCCCACCATGAACAAAGTTCGCACTACGCTGACCCCGCTATCATCTTCCAAAGTTCTTACCAACACAAAAGAATACCTTCGAAAACTGGCTCCGTGCTGCTCCCACCTGCCGCCGAAACTCAGCACCAGAGGCGCTGTTGGCCATGAAGGGTCACAGCGCTTTCAAGTTTCTATTGTTTTCTGGAATTTTCTTGCTGTTTCGGGGGAAGTGGGCATGGCTCTGCGAAGCTTAGCGTTGCTGTGCGTTCCTCAGGGTTTCAAGCTCCACTTTTTCTTGCTGCCAGACGGGGGAAGGATGGCGAGGCCAATCTGTAGGGCCTACTTCAGCCTACTCCTCCCCTGAGAAAAAACAACGGGCGATCGTTGAAGGCATGGAATTCCTGGACTTTTTCTGAGGCGGGAGCGACGATTGATTCTTGCAATAAGGCGAGCTCTTACCAAGCCTCACCACAACACTAAGCTTACCATTCTCGCCATGCCATGTTCTTAAGTGAGTAGCAAGATGGGGGGCTCTGGTTGTCGGGAATGCGTACGTAACTGCGGAACCTTGTCTGCCGTCTGGCCTACATTGAACAAACAGCGCACACGAAGAAATCAGCCACAGCGTGCAGTACCCGCGATAACTCTTGCATGCAGTGGAGCACTCGCAACACCCAAGGCAACCGAACTGCAAACCTACTACCGCTTGCCAGCTTTCCATGTCCTGGGAAATGCCTGGTCGAACAGCAAAACATGCACTCGCGATCGTGTCCATTTCGCGTGCCCTTACTCCTTACTTGCTCTTTTTTTTTGTAGTGTGGGCCCATGTACCATTCCCAAAACCCAAACGCCTTGGGTGCTTGACTTTGCTTTGCTATGTATGCAGTCCTCTCGGCCGCTGCCCTCGCGAGATCCACCCTTTCCTTCGCTGTGCTTGGGGTCTTCCGAAACCCTGAGCCGCAAACAGGGTTTTGTTGGCGCTCGGGACGTTTTCCTCAAGAACCGCATCACAGCAACAAGGCTGAGTGGTAGCCTTAAGCACTCGAAACCCTCAGCTGAGCACCCAAATCCACCAAAGCTCCTTGAAATTCCTGCCATGCGGCACAGTAGAAGTTCTTGGCGGCAGAGAAGCATGCTTCGGAGGATCGCCGTTGGACATGACGCAGATCCTCCGAGGCTTCGACTCGCAGCTTCCTTTATAGCGAAACTGCCATCGCAAGTTCTCAACTTTCTTTCGAAGTCTCCAAGCCTTGCTAGAGTTGCCGTAGGGCTTCTTCGACTGCTTCTTGGCGGTGTTCCAAGTGCTGGTGGTAGGGTGCGTCTGGCTTAACACGGGAACAACCCCCCCTCGCCTAAGACTGCGTGAAAGGCTGAAGCAACCCCTAGGCCCTAAAGCCACCTTACAACCCTAAAACCACCTCCTCGGCCACTCGTGCGCACTGCGGGCTCCCACCCGCCACAGCGGCGCGGAGCGCGCGGCCAGGGCGATCTGGTGCAAGCAGGGTTGGAGAGGTGAGGGCGCATACTTGGATCCAAGTAGGGCTCGTGGACTTCCTTTTGCAAGAGGCTGCCTCCTTCTTAAGCAGCTGTGGTGAAACATGCGAGAAGGAAGCTGCCGATGGTGTTTCTCATGGTAGCTAGAAATCTCAGGCTTCATCCTCGGCCTCTTGAGTCCCATATCTGTGGTCAGAATTCCTGTCTTCAGGGGAGAAGGGAGAGGGAGGGAGAAGTAAGTGGTGAGTTATCTGTTCGGCGGGCCCGCAAATGGGGGGGGCTGGCACACCTGCATGCACGCATTTCCGGACACGCTTTCACTGACAGACGGAACTTCCACAAGGCTTCGCAGGATGCACCAGATGAGTCCCCGCAATTGAGATTCGACATTCAGTGGCGTGAGAAGGAGAAAGGCACAACGGACAGTGTGCACTTTGGGGCAAGCTCACCGAAAATGAATGGGCGAGTCGGGTGACTGGTGTGACTAGTTCAGAATAACAGAATCAGAGCCCAGAAAGACCCGGACGCAATGCGCGAACCTCGCAGCGCCATCTTCCAAAGGGCAAAGGCGGGCAGCTGCCATGGCAACCATTCACAGAGAGCGTCTCGCCTTGGGCCCTTCCAGCTTGCTGGAAGTCGCAGGCGCAAAGTCATGGCTAACATAGATCTATAAACTCTAGGCATGGATTCAAAGGAAGTTAAAGCCCAAACCTTTCGGAACGAATCAAAAGTCCAGTCTCCCAAGCTCCGAGCCCGTTTCAACGACCAATCGCGGCAGCTGCAAGCAGGCTGGGACTTCGGGATCTTCGCCTCTACTTGGTGTCGTTATGCAGCTGTCAACACCCTGCATGTGCACCCTAAGCACAACATCTTGTTGATTGAGGGATTTGGGGCCTAAGGTGAAAGCACGCAGATGGCCCTTCGCCAGCAGATGTCAGAAGTGGAGCCAGTTACCATACACATCATACCCCTATACGTTTATAAGTTCTTACCCTAAGACGAAGTATCAACCCACTGGAGCAAGAGGGCACTCAGCAGAGATTTGATTCACGCAGCGTCCATTGAAACTCGCGATGCAACATGGGGCCCTGGCAAGGCAATGGTTCATCACATGGACAAAAAGGCAAAAAACGAAGCAGAGGTGTCAGCAGAGTTGGCTCCAGGCCTTTTGAGGAGTTTAAAGCTCTTGGTCAAGGCTTACACCCTTTGTGGGACAACGGTTTAGGAGAATGAGTATTTCCAGTTGAGATTGAAGGTATCTAGCCCATACCTATGCAACATGCAATAGCTGCTTGGCTTCGAGGCAGCCAGCTCTGCTGACGTCCTGTCCTCCGCAATTCTGGGTATTCATCAAAGGTCAAGGTCCCTTGTCAGGTGTCAGATGCTAAGAGTCTCTGCAACATAGGGGGATGCCCAAGCCATTCTCTGCGGAACGCAGACTTTGATAAACAGCCCGTTCGGTCACCTGCTTTGGCCTCCGGAGGAAACGAGAGCAGGACCGTGCTACAGCTGCAGCAGTGAGGCTGCTCGGAGTCGCTGTGACCTGTTCTGACGCACGCAGGGGCCACATGCCGTCCTCCGAACTGCGCAGCCGGGCAGGATGGGGGGGTTACCCCGGAAAGCGGCCCAGTCGGTCCCAGCGGGATGTTGAAGCTTCGCTGGGCTTCTAACCTTTTGTTTTTGGCTCGCCGTGCCTTCGACACCCTCTTGGGACTTTTGGCAACAACTTGGAAGTATTCCACACGACTCGGGCTGCTAAATCTCTGTGTAGGTCATTGCTGCCTTGACTGTGCCAGCTCCGGAGCCCCCGATGTTTCTTTGTCCTGCTGTTATGCTCAGGGCACACGTCGCCCCATGAACGGAACGGCCAGCACTTTGCAATCTCTCAAAAGCACAGCACCCAATCCCCAAACTGCTCCTTGGCACTGTGGCCTACGCTCACATGCTTGTGAGCACCAAGGTAGGACCGCTAATAGACAAGAAACTGCACCAGCCGAAGCGCACCTGTCCCAAGTCCACCCGAAAATTCGAAGATGCCAAAACCTACACTACAATGACTACAGGGTGACTACAGAGGTTAGCCGATCCAAATGCAAGGGATTTCCAGCTTCGCAACGCACGCGATACTGAATTGTGGCTCTGTTGCCATGGGAGGACTTCGGCTCAAACACACCATACCCCCGATGAGCTCAGGTGCACTTGGAATCTAACTTTTTATCTCGAAGAATGTCAGGCGGTGGCATAGTTTGCCGAACTTGCAGCTCGGCGATAGACACCCTTTTTGTAGGGCTTTGGATCTACACAGTCTAAGCCCGGCTTCACCAACCTGAACTAAGCCCCTGAGCCCCCCCAGGCTTGTCGCCACGGCTTTGGGGGGCGCTGTCCGCGCCGGCGGCTGATGGGTTACCATCACCGGCGCAAGTGTCAGAGGCGGCAGGCCGCGTTGTAGTCACTTTCGTGTTCGCCAACCGGGACCCCGAACATCGACAGAAACCCTCGGCCCAGCCTTGTTTTGGGACGGAAGAAAGGACTCAACACTTCAACAGTTCGACACCCAACACATACACCCACCAATATTCATAAGGAACCCTACAAAACACTCACCAATAACAGTAACAAATAAGAAACCCGGACTTAGGTTGTGGAGTTGTGGATCGTACCATCTTCCTCATCACTACAATCTTCGCCAAGTTTGGATGTTCTCCCCTTTATGCTCCGTATGCGTGTGCGTGTGGTGTGTGTACAATGTTCACTTCCCATGAAACACCCTACTCCCTTGATTGATTCAGTCTATCCTGCAGTGTCCCGGGTTGGGTGGAGTCGGCTATCCCCTCTCAAATTATCAACCTCAAAGCTCCAACCCTTAACCTCCTAACTTTCAAATCAAATCAAAGAGCATGCATAACAAGGGCTACTGTTCACCGTTCTCTGGAGAGCTCTGGGACTCTAGCATTGCAATTACCGTACTTGGAAGGGTGACGACAGGACCTGGTTCGAAACGTGCGGCCGCCGTCTTCTGCGATGAAGTTCAAGCAAAAAACAGTCGAGCTACAATTGAAAGGGTGGCCTGCGTTCTCTTCCGAAGATTACAGAAAGCGCTTTCAGGAACAAAGTCCTAAACCCAACCTTGACTGGCGTTTGCCTGACGTAATCTTCTTGGCTCCCTCTCAATGAAACCAGATCACGGCCGCCCGCGCCTCACCACAGCATGGGCCGGTGAACCGACTTCGTCCACCGACGTCGGCACTGGCCGGGTTGGAGGTTCAGGGTTACGTCTACAATTCAAATACTCCCAACACTGTGCAAGGTTTGCACCAGCCTCTTCGCTCCACCCGCTTGCCCCAATCCCCCCCCCCCCAACCCCTGTAAGGAGGCGCATGCGTTCGGCAGCCATTCAAAGGGGTCCTTTTAAAGCGGAGGACCCAAGCCGGCAACGGGGCGGATTGGTAGAAGGGCAAAAGAGTCGGCGACGGCTAGACTTCAGGCACATCTAAACTTGAAATTGAGGCCGCATTTAGCACAGCACAGCAGCACGGCCAGCAGACCCTGCCCTTCTACTCTACGCATCTGTACCTTCTCGAGATCAATGCGGCAGGAAACATGGCAAACTCTTTGGCACTGTGTTTGCCGCTGGGGGCCAGGCCTGCGCAGGCACAACATCTTCTTCTCCCAACAACATGCAACAACATGTAACAACATCACGCGGACCAAAATTTGGGCTCAGGAGTTTGGGCAAGGCTTTGCGTCTAAACGGCTTTGTGGCTTTACCATCTTCGATTCGGCTTGGAGATGAGTGAGGATGCCAACGTTAGCCACCTCCAAACCTTGAAGTGCTGCTAGTTGCCATCGGTCCAGCGAAACTCATAAATACATCGCGAGCGCCCAACATCAAGACCCAAAAGTCCAACACCTCAGGAGATGCGAAATACCGCAAAGAACCCCAGAGCCGGCAACCTCGGGCATGGGTGACCAGTGCAGCCCTCAAGCAGCACTAGAAGACTGGAGCCAGAAAGCCCGGAACCTAGCATCCCAAACGCCTCAAGCATGAATGCGACGCACATGCGCAATCAGTCTTGAGCCATAAGTACCTGAGGCCTGAGGTCGTGGCTTAGGGGGTTATGTCGCGGCTGAAAGGATCCTCGTCCGACGTCCTTGGCGAGAAGAGTTGTTTCTTCCGGGCTTCAGGTGTGGAGTTTATGGTGGAAGAAAGGTCGGCAGTACCGTCTTGCATACCATCGCAGATGTAGGCCTTAGATGCTAGTCCCGGAGACAAGCGAAAGAACCCTTGCCCTTTCACCGATGGGAACACTCACCCTGCCGAGCTTCGAAGTTAGGGGGTTGAGGGATTTGGGAGGATTTGGGATCTGGTCTGCAGGCTCGGGGGTTTTGAGGTTCACATAAGTTTACGGGGCTCTGGACTTCAGATCGGTTCATCGGAAAGCCCACAAAAACTGCTCTGCTCTTGTACCTGAGAACCGAATCCTGCGTCCTAGGGGGTGTGACTGAGCACGCGCATATGCGAGTGCGCGGGCGGGTTGGCGGGCGGGCTGGCGGGCTGGCGTGCGTGAGCCCAAGCAAGCAAGCAAGCAAGCAAGCAAGCGCGTGTGCACGTAGTTCACCCGCGTCTCAAGCTCAGTCGGCGGAAGCACTCTTTTCCCTGGGCTTCGTTCAAGCGGGATTGATTGAGGACCGGGAGACAGCACGAATTTTCGCAAAGCGCCGCAGCAGCTAGCTGATCCGGCCATATCTGGGCATGACCTTTATGTCCATGACCTTTGCACACCACACTGGCACTACACGTGCTCCTCAGCTGGCAAGTTTAAAGGAACAGCCTTAAAATCGGGGTGCGGAACTCAAACCCAGGAGCGGCAAGCTTCTGCCGCACAGATTTCCACACCCATGAAGGGCTGACACAGCATGGCATGATGATTAGCGTGGCAGATGTCCGCAAGCACGTCTGTGAAGCGGAGGTGAAAGTCGAGCAGGGGAATGTCGTTCGCATCCTGCCCGAAGGGGTTTTCCAGCTCCATTGCAACGTCGTTCAGGCACCAAAGGCTCGTGAACAAGATGAAGCAGAGAATCGGCCCAACGACTGGTGAGCCGGTGAAGATCACGACGTACACGGGGATGAAGCAAGAGAAGCCGATGAGGAGCCAACCCAGCAGCTGCGCATAGGGCATCGGAAAGGGCACGTCTGCGACCTTCAAGCAGTTACAGAAGCCCAGCATGCCATTGGAAAGCTCCTGGTACATCCTCGACTGAATGGGCGCGGCGATGTCCAGTCGGCTCATGGAATCTGCCAGATCCCAGACAATCCAGTACATCACCTTCGTTCCGCAGCAAACCAGCGACGAGTTAAGAAGTCCCCCCCCCAAAAAAGACAGACCCATCCGCCTTAGGCCTTAAGCCGAAGCCCTTCGACACAATCAACACCCCAGAAACACCCAGAGATGCCAGCAAAATTAAGATGCTTCAGCATGAAGAATGGACCTTGCAGAGGCCCCCTGAGAAGCTTCAGTCTAGAACCTTCATGTTTTTGGGCAAGGAACGACATCACACCCCCCCAAACTCTCAGACCCTAAACCCTAAACCCTAAACTCCCAAAATCGGTGGACACGAACCCCTGGAAGCTTCCAGGGTGCTGTGGCAACATGGTCGTAGGATTGCTCGAGCAGCTCTTGCTGATCCTCCCAAACCAACGGGTCTAGGGTTTAGGGCTTCGACTCTCACACTGGCGCACGCGCTGGCAAGGCTCCGCTAGGGTTTGGGGTTTGGGGTTAGGGTTTAGGGTTTAGGGTTTGGGGTTTAGGGTTTAGGGTTTAGGGTTTAGAGTTTAGGGCTTAGGTTTTAGGGGTTAGGTTTTTTTCCAGGGTTTAGGGTTTAGGGTTTAGGATTTAGGATTTAGGATTTAGGATTTAGGATTTAGGATTTAGGATTTAGGGTAAACCAACGCTAACTTCGGGCGAGATCAAACATCCTGGGTCTCTCAACTTCTACGCATTCTTAAGGCTCTAGGCCCACAATCTCAGATTCAGAAGTTCTGCAAGAATTCTCAGAACACTCCTCATGAGCACTCTGTCGTTATTTTTGAAAAACCCCTCTGAGGCAGCTCTCCTTTGACGGGAGCTCGAAGACTGGGTAAACGTCATGCATGCGGTCACGCTTGAAGTGCTTCCTGTGCCCGTCCACCAAGCATCGGAATCACTAGATGCGGCTTTGCTGTAGGAGTCCAACACAAAAAGAAGTGAAAGGCTAGGGTGCACTCAAGGTGGGAGTTCAATGTGGCCGTGTATCAGCCCCAAAGCAAAACCTGCACAGCTTCATTCCAAGCAGCTGAACTACTCAAGATCCCAGACCCCCTACCGCACAAGCACGCACAATACACAACAAAAGCAAATGGGGGGGGTCCTCTCCACGAGCTTTGGAAGAAAGCCTCCGTAGCATTCGCCCTGCTCGGGAAGGCCCCGGAGCCCCCCCAACTTCGGCGCAGATTAAAAGCGCTACGCCTTCGGCTAGCTCTCACAACTGGAGCATCTTAAGGTTCAGGGGCGTGCCCAATTGTGCTACGCAGACTCCCCGACCTCGATTCGCAAGTCAGTCCGTGTGCGTATGCGCTCGGACCCATCGTCCTGCGCGCGGTTCGAAAAGAGGGGCTGGCTGTGCCAATCCAAATCATGGCACCACACAATCGGCAAAATACTACTCAGAATCATCACGGTGTTAGGAATCGTATGTGCGTAATAATGACTGTTTCGTCCGTTCCGGTCACTGTTAAGCAAGATTGATATGCAAATCGTACCCAGTACTTGATAGTCAGTTCTTACCATATCATGACTCTTCAGTAATATTGAATATCGAGCATTCAGTACTCCAGAGTCGACAATTCATCAATTGCAACAAGTATCTGATGGAAGTACTCGCTAGCACTTAGACATTTCTAATGAAGAGTATGTAAAGATTCATGAATCAGAATTGGCAAGTAGTTTATTTAATAAGTAGTAAGTCGTTCTTAGTACATAGCAATGAACCTTTCAAATAACTAAAACCTGCTCCGTAGCAAAGCAATGAATAAAAAGTCGTTAGCAACTAACTATGCATAACATATTGCAAAAAAAGTAGTGGTTCATGATTCGCGATAAATATCTAGCAGTTAAGCGTAAATAGCAAGTAAGCAAAAACATGCCTTTCCCTCCCGCCCTGCCGAAGCTGCGAGGCCATGTCATCCAACCCTCCCCCAAACGAAACAGACAAGGTATGTGAGTGGTTGTCAAAGTCACGGTCCCTTTTGGGGTCCCGAATAACTACGGCACCAAAAAGTTACGGCCCTAACTTTGACAACTGCCCATGTGTGTACGCGTCTTGCACATAATTTCCCGCCCAGGCTTATGCTTGGCAGACCACCATCCCACCGAGCCTAAACGAATGAGTCTTGAGTAGTGATTTCCACTAAGAGTATGCTTTGGTTAGTGGACAGTAAGTAAGCACTTGCAAAACACATTTAGTAGTTAAAGGTTAGCAACTGCAAGTTCACACACAATAGTTAATACACAAGGGCAAAAGATGCTTCGGAGCCGCAGCCAAACACTTACAAGTTTAGACTTAACCGGTAGTTAGCCATACTTCTACCTCAACACTTCATACTTCGTAAATAGCAATTCGTAGTTAGTCAGTTGTGGTTGCAATCCGTAAGTAGTACTTCATAACAGCATATTTGGTATGGTTAACCCGGTGATTGTAGTAATACTTAGCAATGGACCTATTTTAAAGCAAAACCAAAACCTGACAATACTCATTAAACATGTTCCCTGGATTTTAGTGATTAAGAAACGACGAATACATTAGTGATGACATGAGCATTATCATAGTCACCCGGCGATGGTTGTGATAGAAATAATAGACATTGCGACGAAGAGACTCAAGGACCGTAGGTCCTGCAACTGGAGGACCGAGTGCCCGGAAACCGGGCGCCAACCCTACCACGTGAGCCCCCGCCAACCTGTGGGAAAAGAACCGGGACTCTTTCAGACACCGTTTGGTGCTGTGTCAGGTTGCAAGGAGCTGCTACTGGAAACTCAATCCAAGCCTTCACGATTCACTAGGGTTCTGGCCCGAAAGAGGCCCCCCAGGGCCGGGCCGAAGCGTTCGACGCGTAGCGTTTTATCAACAGAAGGCACAATACTTTGATAAATGTAGCAGCAGCAACAGTAGTGGTACTAAAATGTACTGCCATTCCGTGTGCTGACAAAACGGGGATGCAAAACTGGGCAACAAGCCCATTAGCAACCAACAACTTGGGATGTTCCCGCTTATACTAACAGTCCTTCTTAGGGATTATAATGGGGGGTACTATAATCCCCATTAAGGACTGCTAGCATAAGGGGGAACATCCCAACCAACAACCATGGCTTGCACTCCATGGAGCAGCCCAAGGCACACCAGGTTTGCAGTGAAGTGCATTTAAATTTCACACGCACACAAAGGCTTAGTCCATGAACTAACAGTTGCAAAGAACAATCAGCAAAACCTGCCTCACCCCAAAAAAAACAACAACAAACAAGTATAGAGGACGGCGCAGGGCTGCTCCTTCATGCGCTCGTTGTCGCCGCGGCAAAGCCTCTCAGCCGCAAAGGCGCTCAGCAAAGCAAAGTTCCACTTCAGCCGCAGCCTCAGCTGAGGGGCAAAGACCGGATCTATCTGACCTGTTGGGGAAGGCGCCACGGAGTTGTGCAAGGCCTCCGTGACTTTGTTTTTCCCCCGCCCATTTTTTTTGAATTGAATCACGAATCTCAATGAGCCACACCCACCTCATGCCGAATGCGGAAACACACGAACTTAACTCCGGCGCCGGCGCAACACCATCCAACCCGCAATATTGAAACCCGAAGCCAGAAACACAAAGCCCTAATTGAAACAGAGGAAGAACAAGTTCGAACACATCTCTTGCACGGGTGGCTGCTTCTGCCACAGGAGGTCTGCCCGTACATGATCTCCTGCCTTGCATGACCCATGCTAAACTTGCCCTCTATGTATGCGCTTCGGAATTTGTTCGGTGCCCGGGTTTAGGCCCCTCTGGGATCACGGGTTTACGGTTTAGGGTTTAGGGTTTAGGGTTTCGGGTTTAGGGTTTAGGGTCAAGCAGACCAGCCACACTGCAGGCGAAGTAATCAACTTTGGAATGATTGACGGAATCTTGAAACACCAAAGTCGCCGCTGCAATCAAGGGCCCCCTTGTCGTTGATGTTTAGGGTCCGGGGGTTCGGGCGTGGTTCTGTCCTGCTCTGGGTGATTGGGCTTTGGGGGTCCGGCTTCTGAAGCCTGTTTACCAGCTGTCACAAGCTCTTGCTTGAAACCCTGACGATGGCCACCCGAGAAGGCAGGTCCTCAAATGCTGCCTTGGCCGTAACCTCCGCGAAGGCCTTCGTTACGGGCCCACTGAGAGGGTTGCAGTATCTTTGGGCATCCTCCTATGACCGGACGCCATGGCTTAAGCTTTCGAGGGCCTGTTTCATGGTTCAGGCTTGAACAGAGTTCTGCGTTTTCAGCGATTGCATGGGCTTGCGGAATGCCCTCCTGCCTGGAATTGTGCGAAGGCGTCCATCCACCTCAGCTTCTACGGCGCAACTTGTCCAAGCAGCCATGATAAGAATCCTCGGAAAGAGCAGAGGGGCCACACACAGTTCACGCTTGCTAAATTTATTCAAGTTGCTTGCTGTACATCATGTGGAGATGTGTGGCTGCCTCCCAGAACCTCCCCCACGCCAGCTGGGTCCGAAAAACGATGGCGAAAGTGACTCCAACACCCACAGCTTGGAAGCCATAGTGGTGCTCGATATCCGGGGCATATTCCCAGCCGGTGTCGCGCGCATGCTGGACGAAGCTGCCCATTCCTGCAAGCAGGAGCCCAGCCAATATCGTCTCAGGACGGAAAAACACGCTCCCCTGCCGTTGCAGAAGAAGACGGAGTAGCCTCCGGTTGTTGTAGAGGAGCATGACATTTGGAAGTGGATCCGGTCTCTTTCACATTGCGCTTGGCACGTACAGTCGGTAGGTGCATATGCAACTGCTGACTGGTGACAGCTGGCTACTAGCTTGAGGAAGGGAGGCATCGATACACTACCAATGGCTTAAGGCAGTTGCTGCATTGGTAGTGCTTTGCTGCGAAACACCTTTTCTGAGCACTTTGGCTCACCTATCTGCTCTCTTCGAGAGCTATCCATCGAGCCGCGACACATGGGAATCTGGATTTGGGTCAATCGACAATATTGCTTTAGAAGAAATGCTGCGAAGTTGTATCACCACGGTCGATTCACCCCAATGCCTAATGTGTGTCGTCATCCAAGATTTGCTCTTCTGAAAAGTTGTCTCGCGGCTTCAAAAAGCATTCGAGAGTTTGAAAGGATCTTGGTCTACCGGAGTCTACCGAGTCTGACAGGAGGTTTGAATGCACAAAACTGAATCATGTGATCGCCCCTGCTGTAGATTCAGACTGCTTCAGACCTATAAAGCTCCACAGAGTTCTGGCATGACCTACATCTCAAGACCCTTGCCCCAAAATGCTCAGCACCCTGCCATGCCTTCTGCGCAAACTCCTCCTCCAGTGCACTGTTTTGGCTTGAACGTACGGGGTAAAAGCGAAATAGGATCTGTCTCTCACAGGGCTACGCCATGCAGGCCCAATAGTATCGGCTGATTGGTTTGTCCCTCTTCTGGTGCTTATTGGTCAGGCATTGCTGGGGGGCGGTTGGCGTTGCCTGCTTGCAACATCAGCGCAACTCAACTCCCAAGTAGCCGGAGCCAGCTTGTCATGGGGATTAGCCTTGTGCCCTACAAGCCCAACGAAACAGATTCGATGCACTTTCCAGTCTGAAAGCCCTTTTGATCAAACTCGCGAACTGCCTAAGTTGCCACGCCTGGTCCGTCGCAAGAGCGGTGGACTCGCGACTGCAGATGGACCCGCGAGCTCCGCACCTTCCCGCAGAAAGCCAAAACAGGGTTTGGAATGCAAAGGCTTTGGGGAGCCAAACCGTCATCTGTTTGCCCATCTGTTCGGTTTCGTTGCTTGGCTTTCGGTTCTTTCAATTCTGGCCGTCTGCTGCAGTATGGGCTAAGCTAAAGTTAGTACTCACCTGCGGTTTCACGTGTCGGACAGCAGGCCTAGGTGAGGAGGAGGGCGGAGTGTCCTGCCAAGGCAACTCATGCTTGGGATGTTGGCTGGATTTAGGATGTAGGGCCTTAAGGAGTTCTAAGCGTAACGCCCAGCCACGGCAGGCATGCGCAGCTCTCGGATCCCACCCAACATCGTGCAGTTGGCAACTAACAAGCCACACCGGACTTCGAGGCCCGAAGCAACATGCATGCACACCCGTCCACGTCGGACGTGCTCTCTGTCCAGGACCTGACAGCAGGGGCTTTTGACTAGGGGATGGATTGGCTTGCTGGGCTTTGCCGACCATTGCTGCTCTGCCGGATATGGGAAGCTTGAAGGGCCTTTGGGCCAAGGAGGGCTTTCGGCACTAGTCATGTGATTAGTACAACCCTTCTGCTCTTGCCTAGGCAGTTCCCCCCTCAGCTTGCATGTCTCATTAGCTTTCGTAAAGGGACAACTAGCCTCTTTCTGAGATCGACTTCCTACGCCTGAAAATCTCTGGGGCATCCGACCGCACCGAGGCAGTGCCACTCTCGCCGTTGTGGGCCATCTGTGCCGTGATGGAGCTTTGGTAGAGCGGGACTTGGGGGCACTGGGCTCCGAGAAGATTTGGTATTCGCGAGCCTTTGTTTAAGAGCCCTGGCTTAATCCTGTCCTGCTAGCAGAGTCGACGGGGCAGCCATGTGGTGGTTTTCATTCAGAAGGACTGCGAGATCTGTTGCTGGCGGTGCTGGAGCGGCTGGAGAAGTGTTGAGAAGTTCGCTGTCATGGTACACGCAGGGTGGAATGAGGGGTTCCAACATGAGGGTCAGCTTCGAACATTTGGCTTGGCTCTGGCGACCAAAGCCCCGAACCATGAGAAAAGGCTGGAAACTTAGGGGAAAACATTAACCCTGCGAGCCGAGTTACGCCGAACGACTGCACCGAGCCAGTGGGCGTCTGCTCTGTGCCCACAAAGTTCGAGTCATCGAAGTAGAAGGAGAACCTCACGTCACGTTTGTGGCTTGGAGGGTGCTCGGCCGTAGGCGGAAGGCTGTAGACGGGAGCGGATTCCGGGCTGCAGGGATCGCTTCACAAGGGACGACTTCGAGATTCCGCTTTTAACACTTGAGTTTCCGTGCTTCTGCGAATGGCTTCTGCGAATGCATTGGGGAACTCCCTGTTTAGACTGAAGTGCCAAATCACCCTGAATTCCAAGCAGTGTCGTACCTTGCAAGCCATCAAGCCCGAAACACTACATCTCTTTGGCCAAGCGGCGGGTCGCGCGGAGAGGGCTGGGGAGAGTTACCGTTGTCCTCGGCCACAGTCATGGCTCTTTGGTGTCAGCAGCCATAATAAATCCATGTTGGCTTGGGCGGGAGGCTTTCAGGAAGCTTGATGGTTTCTTGATGATGTTACAGATTTTGGGTTTTGGCTCGGGGATGCTCGGGGATGTTCGAGGCGACTGCGGGACTGCGGGGGCCTGCCGAGTTTGGGGTGTGATAATGAAATAGTGTGGTAATGTAATAATCGCAGTACCACACCGTTGCCATGACCAATCTTGCCACTTCTCCATCTCTCCATGGTACACTCCGGGAGGGGGGGGGGGGGACCATCTCCACCAGTTCCTCTCACTCCGAAGTCCATTCTCACTCCCCTGGATTCCAGAGACGAAGCTCAACAATTCAATCATAATCAACAACAAACCACAGCACAAACAATCTATGGGCAACCCTGCTGGCAGCTCTGCGCAAGTGCCTTGATCCAGTCTTGACCCACATGCATGGCAGTGTTGACTTGTTCAGACCCTCGCCAACGTTGGGAAAATGACCCTGGGGCCCGATTGCAAAGAAGCGACTCCCTGGGACTCAACTTGGCAAATAAAAACCGGCGAAGTCCAAACCCAGAGCCGAGGGGCGTCCAGGAGTGAGGGAACCGCGGGAGCCGGCTCCTGTCAAGGCTTTAGAAAGTGTGGGCTGCATGCTGAAGGGATGCGGGAGTACGTCGTCACCACCGCCGCCTTTCGACTATGTGCTTTTGCAGAGTTCTCTGCAGGAATGCGTGGGGTACAGAACAGCTGGAAAAGATGTATTCATTCGTTGTGCTACTTGGTAGACGAGACAACACTGCGCCCACCACAGCACATCAGACACGACTCTTGCAGCAGGTTTTGGGATCAACTTTTCTGATGACAAGCAAGGTAAGGAGAACTTGCGCACCTACCCCTTCCCTGGTACCTCTGTGGGGCTTCCCCCCCCCCTGTAAGTCTGTGGTTCGTTCAGGGTTTAAATTTGCGGGCTTGGCTGACGCATATGCAAGCCCCAATTCTATTCCGTATTCAGGGGGCCGAGGCTTGAGAAACTCTTCGGTCTTAGCCTGGCCAACTTGCCAAGCCTCGAAAAAGCGGACCAGGTTGCACGGCGAGCCCAGCAACGTCGTGGGAGGTCCGAAAGCAGGCAGCCTCCAAAGCACTCTAGCTACTCAACACACTTCCTTTCCACCTTCTTGAGCTAGGACAGCTAGGACTCTGCTCCGCTAGCCGCCCCATTGCCAAGTCAGGATCCCGCCAACATGGTGCCACAATCTCCAGGGAGCCAAACACCTTACAAAATTCTGGAAACCGTTTCGTGTCTCTGCCTCCTGTAGACTCAGTTGCTTTCCTGCAAACTTTTGGGTTTGAGGCCTATGGATCCTTACACTGCCTTGGGAGGGAGGCGCTCCGCTTTGCAAGGCGCCGGCTACGGAGGTCTCCGCGGTCCTGCATTGAGGGGAAGAGTACTCTTTCGCTTGTCACGAACCCCAGAAACAGAATAAGACATGTTATGAGATGGGAATATACTTTTGAGATTTTGGGAAGTCACGTTTCAAGGATGTGCCCGATGCTGAAAGACTTTCGGCTCGAAACCTCTCCGAAAACTGACCTGCCTCCACCCAACCTGATCAGGGGACGCTCTTCAACAAGGAAATCTACTTCACAGTCAACAGAAGAAGAAGAGAACTTGAAGGGCCCCTGAGTTCACCAAAAGTCTGCCTGAGCTTCAAAAGGTCCTCGGTCGCCGAGTTCAGTGCAAGCTTTGGCAATGCCGGCTGTGCCGGAATGGATAAGACCTAACGTGCCCGCGAACTACCCCTAAGAGCTAGCAGCAAAGAGTTGGCCGTGAGAAAGGGATGCTGCAAGTTCAGCGCGAAGTGCCATTCAATCTCTCCCCTGCCTCGGAGTTTCCCTCTGCAAGCGCAGGTGTCTCAGGTGCCTGCACAAGACACAGGGTTCTGCTCCCAAAAGTCTAGCGATTCAAGCGTTTCCTTTGGGTTTGGGTGCGGGCTTCTTTTGATTTGGGGCCCGCGACGATAGCCGCGTCAAGTAAGGCCACCGGGTGCCGGCCACACCTTTTTTGTCTCGACCTCAGAACTGCCTGCGCTGCAAGAGTTGAACCCCGTTCGCCATGGAACCCACGATCCCGAGGTCTGGGCCCTAGATGGCCCTAGGCTTGTCAGGCGAATGTTTCCAGCAATCCATGAACCCCAAATTGGGCAGACCAAGGTAAAGCAGGATACGCGGACTTAGGACCCTCGTGCAAGCCAGGGTCCTCAGCAACTGGAGGAAGTGGTCGCAGAGAAGTCAGAGAGCTTGGGAGGGGACATGACCTGATTCTGGCATCTGGACCCCCTTAGGCACGGCTTTGAGCTGATCTTGGGTTTCTTGTTTTCCGCCTTGGCCTTTCGAGATTGAGGATCGGGGGTGTGGAGCTTTTCAGGACTGATATATCGTCTTGCTGGGGTTGAAAGGTTGGAGAAGGAGTTTGCCTCGAAATACACCAGTGATCGTGGCGGTGCCTGCGACTGTGTGTGCGTGTGCACGCCCCGA